GGCCGCCGGCGGGCAGTGCCAGCACCTGAAGCTGGCGCTGGGCTGCCAGGCCGAGGCCACGCCGCTGCCGCTGAAGAGCTCGGTGCTGGGCGCCGTGCAGGCGCCCGCCGAGGCCAAGCGCCGCCTGTGGGAGCTGGCCACCGAGCCCACGGGGCCGCTGGTGCAGCGCGTCACCAAGAGCGTGCTGGTGGTCAAGTGCCAGGCCAGCGCCCGGCACAGCCTGGGCTACCTGCACGCCAGCTTCGGGCAGCGGCGCTTCTCCTGCGCCTGCCGCGCGCCCGGGCACGGCCGCGCCCGCGGGGACGGGCACCACGACGAGGAGGAGGAGGAGGAGGAGGAAGAGTCGCCCCCCGCGCGCTGCGTGCACTTCCTGGCCTGCATCTGCGCCTTCGCCAGCGACGAGAGCCTGGCCCAGGAGTTCTCCGAGTTCCTCGCCGCCGACGGCAGCGGTGGGGCACCCTAAAAACCAGCCTGGGCTCTCCCCGCGGCCACTCCCTGCCCCCAGAACGGTTCCAGACCCTTCCGTGGGTCACACATCCCACCGGGGCTGGGTTGGTGCTGCCCCGTGCTGCTGTGGGCACGGAGCTCCACGGGGAGCCATTCCCACTGGGGTGGGGTCCTTGTCTGGGCTGGGAACTCTGAACCCCTTCCCAGGGCAAACTCTGGGGTCCATTCCCCAAATCCCCTCCCACAGCAGGAGTACCTGGGGTTCATTCCCCAAAACTTACATCAGGAATATCTGGGGTTCACCCCCTTAAGGAGGTTCTGCACCCCAAAAGCTGCACCCCAATAACCCCACCCAGCCCAAGGTGCAAACCACAGTGGGAGTGGGATGAGCCTCCTGGGAGGGTGAGGGGGTTTTGGGGTTCATTCCCCACATCCCACAGCAGGAATATCTGAGGTCCATTCCCCAAATCCCCTCCCACAGCAGGAGTATCTGGGGTTCATCCCCCTGAACTCCCAGCAGGAATATCTGGGGTTCATTCCCCTAAATCCCACAGGAGTACCTGGGGCTCACCCCCTTAAGGAGGTTCTGCACCCCAGCTGCACCCCGATAACCCCACCCAGCCCAAGGTGCAAACCACAGTGGGAGTGGGATGAGCCTCCTGGGAGGGTGAGGGGGTTTTGGGGTTCTGGGGGTCCCCGTGTCCCCCAGTGTCCCCGTGGCTGGTGGCTGGGCTGTGTTTAGGGACAGTCCTTGTGTCCCCAGGGCTGAAGGGCACGGTGATCCCGCAGCTGCTCCGTGGCCCCAGCCCCGCGGCGCGGGCTCGGGGGGCAGCGGCTGCCAAGGCCAAGAGGAGGAGGAAGGACCTGGGGCCAGGTGAGTGTCACGGGAGGGCTGGGGGCTCTGACCCCCCCGGGCAGCTCCGGGGGGTCAGATACAGCTGTGGAACCCCTGGAGCAGCTCCGGGGGGTCAGATACAGCTGTGGAACCCCTGGAGCAGCTCTGGGGGTCAGATCCAGCTGTGGAGCCTCTGGAGCAGCTCCAGGCCTTAGTGACCGTGGGTGACAATGGGTGACAGTGGGTGACAGTCCCTCCCTCAGGCCCGCAGGTGCCCGGGCCCCTCCTGGCTCCAGACCCAGCTCATCCCAGCCCCAGGAGGAGCAGCCTGAGGAAGCTGCCCGTCGTCTCCTCCTCACCTTCCTCATCCTCCTCCTCGCTGAAGAGACACGGTGAGCCCTGGGGCACTGCCAGCTCGGGGTGGGCACAGGTGGAGGGGGATTTGGGGAAGGAATTCCTGGTGTGAGGGTGGGCAGGGCTGGGATGGAATTCCCAGAGCAGCTGGGATCCCTGGCAGTGCCAAGGGCAGGCTGGAGCCCCCTGGGACAGGCGGAGGTGTGGGACCCATGGTGGGACCAGATGAGCTTTGGGGTCTCCTCCAGCTCCAGCCATTCCAGGACTCCATGGGTGAGGTTTGGGGCACGGTGACATGGCAGTGTCCCCTCCCAGAGCTCTGGGGTGGTGTCTGGGGTGCAGTGATGTTCCAGTGTCCCTTCCTGTCCCCTCAGGCTGTCCCCAGGCGCTGGATGAGTCCCAGGTGTCCCTGTCCTTCCAGGAGTGGCTGGGCAGTGTCACAGAGCGCATCCACCAGACCATGCACTACCAGTTTGAGGGTGAGAGTTTGGGACCCCCAGCCTCCTCCCTGTGACCCCAAAACAGTGACAACCTCCAAATCCCAGCTGTGTCCCTGGGAATTCCCCCAGTGCTGACCCCAAAACAGCAACAGCCTCCAAATCCCAACTGTGTCCCTGGGAATTCCCCCAGTGCTGACCCCCTGAGCCCCGGGGACGCTTTGGGGTGACAATTTGAGACCCGCATTCTCCTCCCAGTGACCCCAAAACAGCGTCAGCCTCCAAATCCCAACCATTTCCCTGGGAATTCCCCCAGTGCTGACCCCCTGAGCCCCGGGGACGCTTTGGGGTGACACTTTGGGACCCCCAGGGCCGCCAAGGGGGGGAAAAAGGGGGGAAATGAAGGGGGAAAGGGGGATGGAAAAATAAAGGGGGGAAAGAGGTGGGGAAAAAAAGTGCCGTTTCCCTGGGAATTCCCCCAGTGCTGACCCCCTGAGCCCCGGGGACGCCTTGGGGTGACACTTTGGGACCCCCAGCCCCGGCTGAGCGCGCCGTGCCCCAGTGCTGACCCCCTGAGCCCCGGGGACGCTTTGGGGTGACAGTTGGGGACCCCGCAGGCCGCCCGGAGCCCCTGGTGTTCCACATCCCCCAGGCGTTCTTCGAGGCGCTCCAGCAGCGCATCTCCAGCGGCAGCGGCAAGAAGAGGCTGCCCAACTCCACCACGGGTGAGGAAAAAGGGGAGAACACCCCAAAAAACAAAGGGAAAAGCCTGCTGGGAGCTGTGTGGGGCAGGGAGCCGGGGCACGGAGAGGATTCCGGGGTTTTTGTTGGGTGCTGGGGAGGGGGAGATGGAAAATGGGAGGGAAGGGGAAATAAAAGGGGAAAATAAAGGGGGGGAAATAAAGGGGGGAAAATAGAGGGAGGAAAAATAAAAGGGGGGGGAATTAAAAAAATAAAGGGGGGGAAAGTAAAGGGGGGAAAGGGGGATGGCAAATTAAAGGGGGGAAGAGGTGGGGAAAAAAATAAATAGGGAGAAAAGGGGTGTAAAAATGAAGAGGGGGAAACAGATGGAAAAATAAAGAAGGGTAAAATAAAGGGGGAAAGAGGCAGTGGGAGGAATAAAGGGGGAGAAAAGGGGTGGAAGGAGAGGAAAAGTGAAGAGGGCTGATAAAACCAAGAGGGACAGTAAGAGAGGGGGAAGATGAAGGGGGCCGGAGCCCCCCGAGCCCCTCCCCGACCCCTCCCCGACCCCTCCCGCAGCCTTCGTGCGCCGGGACGCGCTGCCCCTGGGCACCTTCTCCAAGTACACCTGGCACATCACCAACGTCCTGCAGGTCAAGCAGATCTTCGACACGCCCGAGGTAAGGCCGGGACCCCCCTCCGCACCCCCCAGCCCCGCGGCGCCGGCCCTGAGCGCTGCCCGGCCCGCAGGTGCCGCTGGAGATCACCCGGAGCTTCGTGCAGAACCGCGACGGCTCCTACGAGCCCTTCCGCAGCCCCCGCGTGGAGGTGGAGAGCCTGCCCGAGGGGCTGGGCCCCCGCGAGAGGCAGCCCCCGCTGCGGCCCCTGGAGCTGCAGACCTTCCTCAAAGTCGGTGAGGCCCGGGGGCCGCGGGGGGAGCCCAGAACTGCACCGGGGAGGGCAGGGTGTGGGACCGCAAAAGAGCCCCAAAAAGGGCAGGTTGGGACCCCAAAACTTGTCCCGGGAAGGGCAAGGTGGGACCCTAAAACTGGCCCTAGAAAGGGCAGGGTGGGACCCCCAAAAGAGCCCCAAAAAGGGCAGGTTGGGACCCCAAAACTTGTCCCGGGAAGGGCAAGGTGGGACCCTAAAACTGGCCCTAGAAAGGGCAGGGTGGGACCCCAAAACCCTCCTGGGAGGTCCCAACTCTCCATAGGACTGGGGGAACACAAACACCCCTGGGGGTGCAAGGGAGGGGACAGGGGGGTTCAGGTGTTGGTGGGGGGGCTTCAAGGGATGGAGAAAGGGGGGTTGGGGAGGGCAGCAGGGGGGTTCCAAAGGTTTTGGGGGTCGGGGAGGGCAGCAGGGCTGCAGCCGTGCCGCCGTGCCCCCCCAGGCCACACGTCCCCCTCGCAGAAGGAGCCCACGCCCTTCACCATCGAGTGGATCCCCGACATCCTGCCCCGCTCCCGCCTGGGCGAGCTGCGCCTCAAGTTCCAGTACGGGCACCACGGGGGGCCCCGGCAGCCCCCCGGCCGCGGGGAACGGGGAGGGAAAGGGAGGAAACCTGGGAGACCCCAAAAAGGGGTGGGGGGACCTGGGAGAGCCCCAGAACGGGGAGGGAAAGGGAGGAAACCTGGGAGACCCCAAAAAGGGGTGGGGGGACCTGGGAGAGCCCCAGAACGGGGAGGGGGGACCTGGGAGAGCCCCAAAACGGGGGGTGTAAGGGGGAAGGGACCTGGGAGAGCCCCAAAAGGCTCCCAGTTGGCACCAAGGAGCTCCCAGTTGCTCCCAGTAAGCGCTCACGAGGCACCCAGGCGGCTTCGGGGGTCCCCAGGACCCCCTGTGCTCCCAGTCCCCCCAGTATATTCCTAGTATATTCCTGGTATATCCCCAGTATACCCCCAGTATATCCCCAGTGTATCCCCAGTGTATCCCCAGTGTATTCCCAGTACATTCCCAGTGTGAATGGGAACAACACTGGGAAGGGGGAAATACCGGGAATGGGGAACAACACTGGGAATGGGAGCAGTGAGGGTGGGGGTGACGCGGGACACCGGGTTTGGGGACACCGGGACGCGCACCCTGAGGGTGGCGGACGGAGGGAAGAGGCCCAGGGCTGTGGTGGCCCTGGGGACGGGCCACAGCTGTGGGGTCACCGGCACTGCTCCCGGGGTGTTCCCGTGCCAGCCCTGGGGCCCGGCGTGTGCCCTGCCCGCCGTGCCAGCCCTGTCCCCCGTGCAGGTCCTTCCCCGCGCCCTCCGTGTCCCCAGCGCCCGGCAGCTCCACAGCAGCCCCGTGTGCCTCAAGGTGAGCCCTCGGGGACCCGCGGCCGTGCCCCCTGTCCCCGGGGTCCCTGTGTCCCCTTACCCCACTATCCCATGTCCCCATATCCCCTGTCCCTCTGTCCCCTGACACTGCTGTCCCCTGTCCCGTCCCCTGTCCTCTGTCCCATTCCCTGACACGCTGTCCCCTGTGCCCTGACCCTGCTCTCTCCTGCCCCTGTCCCCGTGTCCCCCTGTCTCCTGTCCTGTCCCCCTGTCCCTGTGTCCCATCCCCTGACCCTGCTGTCCCCGTGTCCCCCATCCCCTGTCCCTGTGTCCCATCCCCTGACCCTGCTGTCCCCCTGTCCCCCTGTCCTGTCCCCTGTCCCATGCCCTGACCCCGGTGTCCCCGCAGGCGCGGGCGGCGCGGGTGCGCGCGGGCAAGGGTGACAAGATGGTGACGTACGAGCAGGCGCACGCCCCGCAGCACATCGGGCACCGCAAGGGCTGGCTGTCCCTGCACACCGGTGAGTGACACGGGACGGGGCACCCAGGGCCACCCGTGCCACCCGTGTGTCACCCGGGAACCTGCGTGGCGAGGCGGGTCTGGCACAGCGGGGGTCACTCAGTGCCACCAATGCCCCCCGTGTGTCACTCAGTGCCCCCCGTGTCCCCAGGTAACCTGCATGGCGAGGCGGGCGCGGCGCCCCGTGCCCTCGAGGACGCGTTCCTGCGCCGCTTCCTGGCCGGGACGTTCCCGGGGCTGCTGGCGGACGAGGCGGTGCTGAAGCGGCGCGGGAACCTGCTGGTGATCTGTGCCCTGCTGGCGCGGGCACTGCCGCCCCACAAGCTCTACTTCCTGCTGGGCTACGCCGAGACCCTGCTGGGCCACTTCTACAAGTGCCCCGTGCGCCTGGAGCTGCAGACCGTGCCCGCCCGCGTGCCCTACAAGTTCATCTAGGGTGACCCTGTGTTCCTAAAAACCATAATGTTCCTAAAAAACATAAATGTTCTTAAAGGAATGCTCTGGGATGTGCCCTACAAGTTCATCTAGGGTGACCCTGTGTTCCTAAAAACCATAATGTTCCTAAAAAACATAAATGTTCTTAAAGGAATGCTCTGGGATGTGCCCTACAAGTTCATCTAGGGTGACCCTGTGTTCCTAAAAACCATAATGTTCCTAAAAACCATCAGCGTTCCTAAAAACCATCAGTGTTCCTAAAGGAGTGCTCTGGGATGTGCCCTACAAGTTCATCTAGGGTGAACCTGCAGTCGGCCCCAAAAAACGTAAATGTTCCTAAAAACCCCATAAAGGTTCCTAAAGGACTGCCTTGGGATGTGCCCTACAAGTTCATCTGGGAATAAACCCATAAATGTTCCTAAAGGAGTGCTCTGGGATGTGCCCTGCAAGTTCATCTAGGGAATAAACCTATAAATGTTCCTAAAAACCCCATAGATGTTCCTAAAAACCATCAGCGTTCCTAAAGGTCTGCTCTGGGATGTGCCCTACAACTTCATCTAGGGAATAAACCTGTAAATGGCCCTAAAAACCCATAAATGTTCCTAAAAACTATGAATGGTCCTAAAGGAGTGCTCTGGGATGTGCCCTACAAGTTCATCTGGGAATAAACCCTTAAATGTTCCTAAAAACCATAACGAGTGCTCTGGGATGTGCCCCACAGGTTCATCTAGGGAATAAACCCATAAATGTTCCTAAAAAACCTATAAATGTTCCTAAAAACCATCAGCGTTCCTAAAGGAGTGCTCTGGGATGTGCCCCACAAGTTCATCTGGGAATAAACCCATAAATGTTCCTAAAAAACCTATAAATGTTCCTAAAAACCATCAGCGTTCCTAAAGGAGTGCTCTGGGATGTGCCCCACAGGTTCATCTAGGGAATAAACCCATAAATGTTCCTAAAAACCAGTAAACGGCCCTAGAAACCCTGTAAATGTTCCTCCAGGATTGCTCTGGGGTATCCTCAGTGTCCCCACAGTGTCCCTGTGCCCCACATGGCCTTGTGTCCTCAACATTCCTGTGTCCCACACACTGTCCCCATGTCCCCGCAGTGTCCCACGTGCCACCCCCATGTCCCTGCAGTGTCCCCACGGTGTCCCCGTGCCCCACGTGCCACCCCCGTGTCCCCAGCCCGTGTGACACCGCAGTGCCCATCCCAGTCCGGCCAGTGCAGGATGTGACAAAACCAGTTTAAATAGAGAGGGGGGAGGGGCGCGGGGGGCTCAGCCCTTCCTGGGCCCCTTGTCCTTGTCCTTGGCCTTGTCCTTGTCCTTGTCCTTGTCCTTGTCCTTGAAGCAGGGGTTGCCCAGGCCCAGCCCTGTCCCCTGCGCGGTGTCCCCCGGCGTGTCCTCCCCCGCTGGCACCTGCGGCGCGGGCCCTGGGGGGACAGCGGGCACCGTGTCACTGTCCCTGTCCCCGGGCCCTGGGGGGACAGCGGGCACCGTGTCACTGTCCCTGTCCCCGGGCCCTGGGGGACAGCGGGCACCGTGTCACTGTCCCTGTCCATGGGGAGGTGACACTGTCCCAGTGTCACACTGTTCCTGTCCCTGTCCCAGTGTCCCTGTCCTGTCCCTGTCCCCGAGGTGACACTGTCCTGGTGTCTCACTGTCCCCGTGCCCAAGGTGACACTGTCCCAGTGGTCCCAGTGTCCCTGTCCCCGGGGAGGTGTCCCTGTCCTCGGGGGTGTGACACTGTCCCTGTCTCGGTGTCCGTGCCCCGGTGTCACTGTCCCTGTCCCCAGGCTGAGGGGACAGCGGGCACCGTGTCACTGTCCCTGTCCTGGGGGTGACCCAGTGTCCCTGTCCCTGGGGAGGTGACACTGTCCTGGTGTCACACTGTCCCCGTGCCCGAGGTGACACTGTCCCAGTCTCCCTGTCCCCGGGGAGGTGTCCCTGTCCTCGAGGGGTTGACACTGTCCTTGTTGCGGTATCCCTGTCCCCAGGGCTGTCCCTGTCCCTGTCCCTGTTCTGGTGTCCCTGTCCCTGTCCCTGTCCCTGTCGCTGTCCCTGTCCCTGTCGCGCTGTCCCTGTCGCGGTGTCCCTGTCGCGGTGTCCCTGTCCCTGTCGCTGTCCCTGTCGCGGTGTCGCAGTCGCTGCCGTACCGATGTAGCTGAGCAGCACGGGCAGGAACGCCAGGCCGTGTGCCAGCCCCAGCGCGGTGACGATGAGGTTGAGGCGGAAGAAGAAGATGCGCACCAGGCGCGCCTTGGCGAACGCCAGCACGGCCACCCCCGGCAGGTTGGTCATGGCCACCCCCGCCACCACCTGCGGCGACAGCGGTGACACCGCCCGGCCGGGACAGCGGCCCGGGGGATCGGGGACCCGCGGGGCCACCCCCGGCCCAGGAGGTCCCGCGGTGTCACCCCCCAGCTCCAGAAGGGTTTGGGGTCCCCCAGTGCCACCCCCCGGCCCAGGACAGTTTGGGGTCCCGCAGTGCCACCCCCAGCCCCAAAAGGTCCCACAGTGTCACCCCCCCGGCCCAGGAGGTCCCGCGGTGTCACCCCCCAGCTCCAGAAGGGTTTGGGTCCCGCAGTGCCACCCCCAGCCCCAGGACAGTTTGGGGTCCCACCATGCCACCCCCAGCCCTAAAAGGTCCCACAGTGTCACCCCCCCGGCCCAGGAGGGTTTGGGGACCCGCGGTGTCACCCCCAGCCCTAAAAGGTCCTCCGGTGTCACCCCCCAGCTCCAGGAGGTCCCACGGTGTCATCCCTGGCCCCAGGAGAGTTTGGGTCCTGTGGTGTCCCCCCGGACCCAGGAGGTGCCCTGGTGCCCCCCGTGCCCACCTTGCTGCCCATGGTGGCAGTGGCCTCAGCGGCTCGTGCCACCCGCGTGGGCTGGCGGCTGCGGGCGAAGGCGCAGGTGATGTGGGACACGAACTCCACCGAGATGCCCACGGCCTGGGGGGACACCGGGCTGGCACCCCGGGCACCGCTGTGCCCCCAGAGCCACCCTCTGTGCCACCAGAGCCACCCCGGTGTCCCCAGAGCCACCCCCGTGCCCTCAGAGCCACCCCTGTGCCACCAGAGCCACCCCATGTCCCACCTCACGTGTCCCAGTGCCACCCCATGTGGCCCACGTCCCTGTGCCACCCCTCACACCCCACGTCCCTGTGCCACCCCATGTTCCCCATGTCCCCACTGTCCCCTGTGCCATCCCACATCCCTGTGCCACCCCGCCATGCCCCGTGTCCCCACTGTGCCCTGTGCCCCATGTCCCCGTGCCACCCTCCATGCCCCACATCCCTGTGCCACCCCCTGTGTCCCATGTCCCAGCTGTCCCCATGTCCCCTGCCCCGTGCCCGTGTCCCCGTGCCCCTGCCCGCACCGCCACGAGGTTGATGAGTGCCACGGCGTTGTAGGGCACTGCCCAGAGCGCCATGCAGCCCACGGTGCCCAGCAGCGCCATGGCGATGGTGAGCAGCGTGGCCAGGCTGGAGCGCACGTCCATGCCCAGCAGCAGGAAGGACACGGCGAAGGTGGGCACCAGGCACAGCGCCAGCGTCACCAGCCCCTCCACCACCACCGTCAGGTACTGCTCGTAGTACACGTACGTCACCCTGCGGGTGGCACCGCGCTGGCAGCGGGCACGCGGGGAGGGGCACCCCCGGCACCCCAAAACGGGCACTGCCACCCCAAAACGGGCACTGCGACCCCAAAACGGGCACTGGGAACACTGATATGGGCACTGGGACCCCAAACAGGCACTGGGACCCCAAAATGGGATCCTGGCACCCCAAAACAGGCACTGGGCACACTGATATGGGCACTGGGACCCCAAACAGGCACTGGGACCCCAAAATGGGAACCGGGCACCCCAAAACGGGCACTGGGAACACTGATATGGGCACTGCGACCCCAAAACGGGCACTGAGACCCCAAAATGGGCACTAGGCACATTGATGTGGGCACTGGGCACCCCAAAACGGGCACTGGGTACCATGACACGAGCACCAGGACCCCAAAACGGGCAGTGGGATGCCAAAACGGGCACTGGATACTGTGATATGGGCACTTGACACCCCAGAATGGGCACTAGGCACCCCAAAATGGGAACCGGGCACCCCAAAATGGGCACTGGACACCCTGATATGGGCACCCCAGCACCCACAGCACCCTGGGATGGGCACCCTGACCTGGGCACCGCTACCTGCCCCCCCTCAGCGGGCCCCCCCGGTGCCCCGGGGCTGGCAGTGCCACTCACGTGTAGGGGAAGACGCGGAAGGCGGGGTCGGTGCCGGGCACGGCGCGCAGGGTGCTCGTGATGCGCTCTGCCAGGGAGCGGGCAGCGCGCAGGGCACTCGTGTACTCCTGGGACGTGCGCAGCGGGCGCTGGTACGCCATGAAACGCGTGGCTGCGGGCACGGCGCGGTCACTGGGGCAGCGGGCACTCGGGGAGAGGGCACTGGGGCAGTGGTCACTTGGGCAGTGGTCACTCGGGGAGTTGGCACGGCGCGGTCACTGGGGCAGCCAGTGGTCACTTGGGGAGAGGGCACTGGGGCAGCTGGCACCACCGGGGCAGTGGGCACCATGGGGCAGCCATCACTTGGGGCAGTGGGCACTCTGTGGGTAGTGGGCACTCCGGGGGCAGTGGTCACCCCTGGTGGTCAGCAGTCACCCCTGGGTGTCAGTGGTCACTCCTGGGGCTCAATGGTCACCCTGGGGGTCAGCAGCTGCTACAGGGTCAGTGGTCATCCTGGTGGTCAGTGGTCACCCCTGGTGGTCAGTGGTTGACCTGGGGGTCAGTGGTCACTCTTGGTGGTCAGTGATCACCCTAGTGGTCAGCGGTCACTCCCAGGGCTCAGTGGCCACCCTGGTGGTCAATGGTCACCCCTGGGGGTCAGTGGTCACCCCGGTCCCCGTGCCACCCGCACTCACCCAGGATGGTGCCGTTGGCGTCCATGCTCACCGCGGTGTCGTAGGCGCCCAGGCCACTGCAGGGACACGGGAGGGTCAGGGGACACCTGGGGACACCCAGGGGACACCCGGGGACACCCAGGGGACACCCGGGGAGTGCCCACGCTGCTGTTCCTGTCCCTGGGTGTCACCACCCCCATGGCTGGCACTGAGCCCTGGGTGTCCCCACAGGTGCCACCCACCCCTGGGAGCCTCCACAGTGCCCAACTCCGTGTCCCCCTGGGTGGCATTTACCCCCGTGTGTCCCCCCAGCAGCACAGCCCTGGCGTCACCGCGGTGCCACCCGTGCCACCACGGTGCCACTCACCCCTTGGCGCACTGCAGCGTGGGCCGGTCCTGCAGGAACCAGGGCAGGAAGCGCTGGAACTCCTCGGCCGTGGGGCGCCGCACCTTCTTCAGGCACTGGCCCAGGAGGCAGCTGGGCTCAGCTGCGGGCACACCGGCTCAGCGCGGGCCCCGCTCACACCGCGGGCACCCAGGGGCACCCAGGGGTGCAGGGGGCCTGCACAGCAGGCACCAAGCAGGCGCCCAGGGGGCATCACGGTAGGTGCCCAGTGACCTCCCCGTGGGCACCCAATGGACACACAATGGGCATTCAATGACCACCCAATGGGCACCCAATGGACACCCAAGGGACACCCAGTGGGCATCCAATGGGCATCCAATGGTCATCACAGTAGGTACCCAATGACCACCCAGTGGCACCCAATGGCCACCCAACAGCCCCCATGGCGGGCACCCCATGGCACCCAACACCACCATGGCGGGCACCCCGTGCCCCCGCAGCCCGTGCCCCGGCGCACTCACTGCTGGTGGAGGGGCAGAACTCGCCCTTGTGCTCCCCGGCCTGGTAGATGCGGCAGCAGCGCACCGTGGGGTTCAGCCAGTCCAGGAAGTCGTCCAGCCACGAGGTGGCCGGGATGGCCAGGTAGGACCTGGGGAGGGCACAGGGGGCTGGCAGGAGGCGGGCGCGGCCGGGCGGGCGGGCGCGGCGCGCGGGCACTCACGCGTTGGGGAAGCGCGTGGCCAGCTGGATGGTCTGCGTCAGCGAGTTGGCGTCGCAGCCCGCGCTGGAGCACACGGCGTTGGTGCCGTTCTCCGAGGAGAAGTCGAAGCCGCTCGTGGTGACGAAGTAGGTGGGGACGCCCACGGCCAGGTAGCGGTTCAGCTCCGAGAAGTACGGCAGCAGGTACGAGTCCTGGGGCAGCGGGGTGGCAGCGGTGGCACCCGCGGGGGCACGAGGGGACGGAGGGGACAGAGGGCACAGAGGGGGCACAGAGGGGACAGAGGGACACAGAGGGGACACAGAGGGGTCCCAAAGGAGTGCCAGCATCCCAGCGGGTCCCCATACAGGGCCGTGCCACCCCTGCCACGTGTCCCCACGTCACAGCCCCACGTGTCCCTGTTCAGGGCCGTGTCACCCACCCAGCACCCACCGGTCTCAAAGGGGTCCCCCCATATGTCACCCCTACATGTCCCCAAGCCTCCCCATGGGGGGCACCCCCGGATGTCCCCACAGGGCCCCCCTGTCCCCCCGTGTGTCCCCGCTGTCCCCGCGGTGCCCGCTTGCGGTGCCCACCTCGGGCAGTGCCAGCTCCTGGTCCAGCCCCACGGACACGTGGAAGAGCAGGAAGAGCCCGGCGCAGGCCAGGAACAGGAACAGCAGCACCTGGGGGAGGGGGGCTCAGGGACCCCACCCCAAACCCCAGAGACCCCCAGGACCCCAAAAAACCCAACAGAGACCCCCAGAACCCCCAAACCTCAGAGACCCCCCAACCCCAAACCCACAGAGACCCCCAAACCCACAGAGACCCCCGGGACCCCAAACTCCCACAGAGACCCCCAAACCCCAAACTCCCCCGTGCCCCCGTGCCCCCCGTGCCCCCGTGCCCCCCATGCCCGTGCCCGTGCCCTCACCACGGCGGGCCGCACCAGGGGGTGCAGCAGCACGGGGGTGTAGAAGCGCTCGAGGAGGGGGCGCAGCAGCCCCCGGCCCCCCCCGGCCGTGCCCCCCTTGCCATCCCCGCAGCAGCAGCAGAGGTCGAAGCGCCCGGCCTGCGGGCACGGGGGGGTTGGCACGGCTCCTCTGTGCCCCCCCCGTGCCCCGCGGGTGTCCCCTGCCCACCCTGGGCACAGCCGGGGGACCCTCACCCTCCCCTGGGACCCTCACCCACCCCGGGGTCCCTGTGCCCACCCTGGGGTCCCAGTGCCCACCCTGGGCATTCTGACACCCACCCTGGGGGCTTCATGAGCACCTGTGCCCACCCTGGGGATCCTCACACCCACCTTGGGATCCCCATGGGCACCCTGGGGACCTCTCACCCACCCCGTGCCCACCCTGGGGCCCCTCTCACCCACCCCTCGCACCCAGCCCGAGCCCCCCGCCCTGGCCCCGCGGTGCCCCCGGTGCCACCTCCTGTCGCCGCCTGTCCAGCGCCACCAGCGCCACAAACCCCGACATCTGCAGCACGAAGTCCAGCGCGATGGCGAGCGCGGCCGTCAGGGCGAAGGTCCGCACGGCTGGCATGGACGAGAGGGCACCTGCGGGACCCCCGGGTCACCGAGACCCCGGGCACCCCCCTGGCACCCCCGGGTCAGCGGGACATGCCCGGACACACCCCTGGCATCCCCGTGTCACCCCTCGGTGTCACCGGGACCCCATGCCAGCCCTGCCACACCCCCCAGCGCCCGTGCCCGTTGTCCCCCATGTCGCTGTGCCCACCCCGTGCCCCCCGTGCCCGCCGTGCCCCCGCACCGAAGAGGAAGCAGACGGTCTCGGAGAGGCTGCAGAGCAGCATGCTCGGTGCCACCTGTGCCAGCACCCGCCCCAGGTGCTGCTCCCGCGTCTCGCCCGGCTCCGGCTGCGACTGCTGCTGCCAGGGAGGGGGGTCAGGGCCGGCCCGGGCACCCCCAGACCCGGGGGGCACCCCCAGACCCCAAACTGCCCCATGCCCCCAGGTGTCTCCAGGTGCCCCAGGTGCCCCCAGCTACCCCCCGGTGCCCCCGGTGCCCCCGGTGCCCGGTGCCGCACCTGCAGCTCCTGCACGAAGATGAAGATGTTGTCGGCGCCCACGGCCAGCACGAGGAAGGGCACGACCTCGATGATGATGAGGGACGAGCGCAGCCCCAGCAGCGCCAGCAGCCCCATGGCGGCCAGCACGGCGCCCAGCACCACCGCGATGCCCCCCAGCGCCAGCGTCACCTTGGACTCCACCTGCGGCACCCGCGGGGGCACCCCGGGTCAGCACCCCCGGCTGGGCACCCCCGAACCCCCCGGGGGGCGCCCCGGGTCAGCACCCCCGAGTGGGCACCCCGAACCCCCCGGCTGGGCACCCCGAATCCCCCGGGGCTCACAAAAACCCTCTGCCACCCCCAAACCCCCCCGAGCCCCCCAAATCGACCCGGAGCTCACCAGGACCCTCCCTCATCCCCAAACCGCACAGGACCCCCCAAACCCACCGCCCTGGGGTGGCACCAGGACCCTCTGCCACCCCTGTGCCCCCCAAACCAAATCCCCCCCGGCTCACCAGGACCCTCTGCCATCCCCGTGCCCCCCGTGCCCCCCGGGGCTCACCAGGACCCTCCGCCAGGCCGTGTACTCGCCCAGGGCCAGCGCGATGTAGGCGAACACCAGCAGGTAGCTGGTGGCGAACACCGGCAGGTCCTCCCCGCTCGTGCGGTTGATCTCGTCCTCCAGAGAGCGCTGAGGGGACAGCGACAGCGACAGCCACAGCTGGGGGCACCGGGGCACCGGGGCACCGGAGGCAGGGAGGAGGGACAGGGACATGGGGACACCGGGGGCACCAGGGGCACCAGGGGCATGGGGACACCGGGGACATGGAAGGGGCACAGGGACACTGGGGACACCAGGGATGTGAGGGGCACTGGGGGAACCGAGGGCAGGGGGACACGAGGGGCACCAGGGGCACGGGGACATGGAAGGGGCACAGGGACATGGGGGGCAGTGGGGACATGAAGGGGACACAGGGTTCGCTGAGGCCACTACGGACACAGGTGACATAGGGAACATGGGGGTCACAGAGACACGGAGGGGACACGGGGGGGACACTGAGGGGACACGGGGTTCACTGAGGCCACTACAGACAGCATGACGCAGGTGACATTGGGAACACGGCGGTCACACAGGAGACACATAGGGACATGGAGGGGACACGGAGGGAACACGGTGCGGACACACTACGGACACCGTGACACAGGTGACATCGGGGGACATGGGGACACGGAGGGACACAGGGGACACGGAGGGGACACGGAGGGGCACGGCCGCACCTCGGCCATGAAGGTGACCGAGAGGTTGTGGCGGTGGCGGCGCTGGAAGTCGCGCACCACGCGCAGGAACTGCCGCTCCCAGCTCAGCGCCCACTCGAGGCGCGGGTCCCCCGCGGGGAAGTTGTTCAGCGAGTAGGTGACGATCAGCGCCTCGGCCTCCGTGTACTCCGACTCTGCGGGGACACGGCGGTCACGGCGCGGGGACACCTCGGGGACCTCTCGGGGACTCTCGGGGCCCCCCAGCGCCCCGGCCCCCCCGTACCGCGGTAGCCGCCCAGGGCGATGTAGGGGAACACGGGCCCGCCATACTCGGCCATGCAGCTCAGCTCCAGCGCCGTGATGTCCTTGAAGGAGAGCGGGGAGCTGGAGGCGACAGGGCCGGGCCGTCAGCGGGGGCAGCGCCCGCCCGGCCCCCGCCCCGCGCCCGCTGCCACCCGCGGGCACCCCGGCTGCCGTGGGGGACGCGTGGGTGGCACCGCAGGGACACGGCCTGGCGCCCAACAGCAATGGGGACACACGGGTGGCATCACAGACACACAGCCTGGCGCCCAACAGAGATGGGGACACCCGCGGGATAGCCCAGACGCACGGCCTGATGCCCAACAGAGATGGGGACACATGGGTGGCACCACAGGGACACGGCCTGGCGCCCAACAGGGATGGGGACACGTGGGTGGCACCCTGAACCCGCATGGGCATCATCCCAGCCCCAAAACTGGCCACCCCACGGGCACCGTGCCACAGGGGGCACCCCACAGCTGTCACCCCAGCCCCACAGCAGGGCACCCCGCGGTGCCCGTGGCACCCACTTGACGCAGTAGATGAGGTGGTCGTGCCAGTCCACGGTGCCCTGCTGCTTGCCGTCCTGCCAGGCGCTGAGCGCCAGGCGGCTGCGGTTGTTCTGGAAGTACTGCGTGACGCTGTTGACGGCGCAGTCGCCCACGCCGGGCGCCGCGGGGTTCAGCGGCGCGTAGCACACGTCCTGCAGGCTGACGTTCCTGCCCGCGCCCGCCGCCCACGCCGTGGTGCCCGCCAGCGTCTCCTGCAGCTCCAGCAGCGCCAGCAGCACGTCCTGCGCCAGCACCCCGCTGAAGTTCTTGGTGCCCAGCACCACCGAGTCGTAGGTGAGGCCGGCGCGCCCCGGCGCCGTCACGATCACCTGGTTGGTGCGCAGGAAGGGCCCGAAGTGGCGGTCGTGGAACTCCTTCTCCTGCCTGGCACGGCTGCCCGGCGCCGACCACAGCTCCACGGGGTCCGTGGTCAGCTGCAGGGTCACCAGCCCGGCCGAGAGCCCCCCGGCCACCGCCACGGCCACCGCCAGCACGGCCACCGGCCACGCGGCCACCACCGTGCCCCAGCGTCGGCGGGCGGCGCCACGGGCGGGCAGGCCTGGGCGCAGTCCTGGCACGAGCACGGCTCCTGGTCGGCGCTGGGCGCTTGGTCGCAGCGCCAGGCGGGCGCGTCCAGCGGGACGATGCCCTGGCCGGGCTCGGAGCCGTTGGGCAGCAGCTGGAAGTCGATCTGCAGCGGCGCCAGCCCGTTGTTCTTGTCGCCCTGGTAGTCCAGCCAGCGCTGGGCCGTGCACAGCTGGGCGCCGTAGCGCCCGCACATGGTGGAGATGGCATAGCCGCCCGTGGCGGGCAGCCGCACGCCCTGGCACGAGGCGAAGGCGGCCTCGGCGTAGCGGCGGCGGTAGAAGAGCTGGTACTCCAGCACGGCGTGGGCGCCAGGCACCACCGTGTAGTTGGCCACGCGGGTGACGTTGGTGAAGAGGCTCTGGTCGGGGCTGCAGATGTTGTGGCAGTAGAGGTTGGCGAAGTTGCGGGCGCAGGCCGGGCACCGCGCCAGCACGGTGCCCGAGAGCCCCACGCTGAGGCGCAGCGCGCTCAGCTGCCCGTAGCTGCAGCACACCCGCGTGGTCTCGTTGTCCCCCCGTGCCAGCTCGGGGCACACGACGCGCAGCAGGGACAGCAGCGCGCCCCGTGCCACCCGCGCCGGCGTGTTGGACAGGCAGGGCACCTTGGAGGGCACCAGCGACATGTTGATCTCGGGGTTGCGCCCGCACTCGCCGTAGAAGGCGCAGACGCCGGCCTGGCGCACGGGGGTCAGCAACGGCGACGCCTGCGGGGACGGGGACGGGGTGGTGGCACGGTGGTGGCACCTTGAGGGGGGCCTGGTGGGCACCACGGAGGTGTCGCCACAGCCAGGGCACCGTTGGTTCCTCCAAATGTCACCCAGTGGGCACCATGGCATTGTCCCCACACTCTGCCACCTCCAGTTCCTCCAAGTGTCACCCAAATGTCACCCAGTGGGCACCACAGCAGTGTCCCCCCACTCTGCCACCTTCAGTTCCCCCAGATGTCACCCAGATGGCACCACAAGGGTGTCCCCTGGCTCTGCCCACCCCAAACGTTCCGAGTGCCACCCAAATGTCACCAGGCGGGCACGGCACCGGTGTCCCCCCGGCTCTGCCACCCTCAGCCCCCAAATGTCACCGCAGCGGTGCCCCCCGTCCCCCCCGGTGCCACCCCCAGTGCCCGCCCCGCGTCCCTCCCAGTGCCACCCGCAGTGTCCCTGTCCCTACCAGCGCCAGGAGCGCGGCCAGGAGGGCGCCGGGCAGTGCCAGGGAGGCGGCCATGCTGACAGGGCTGTCCCCGAGTGCCACCCGCGCCTTTAAAGCCCCCCCGCCCCCCGGTGCCGGCCGGGGAGGGCACCGCTGGCCTGATGGCAGCGGGGCCAATCAGCCCCGGGGCCGGATCGATCATTAACCCGATCATCGATCGATCGGGGCGGGGCCCGGCGGCCCCGCCGGGGCGGGGTGGCACTGCCACCCGTGTGGCAGCAGGCGGCACCGTGGGAACCGACACGGGGAGAAAACGGGGATTTATGCTCAGGGTGGCATCAGGGGCACCCACGGGCACCGGTTTGGGGACAAACGCAGGAATTTGGGAGCGGGGGTGGCACAGGGTGGCAGCAGGACGTCACCACGGGCACCGGTGACAGCGCCGGTGCCACATCCCGGGATCCCGGGGTGGCGCCCTGCTGTCCCCCACGCCGAGGGCACGGCTGTGCCAGGGCCACCTTGGTGCCATCCCGGTGGTGACAGAGCCAGCCTGGTGCCATCCTCGTGTGCCAGGGCCATCCCTGTGCCCTCTGTCCCAGTGACATCCCAGTGGTGCCGCTGCCACCCCGGCACCACCCCTTGTGTGCCATCCTGGTGGTGACCTGGGTCATCTTGGTGCCATCCCGGTGTGACAGTGCCATGCCATCCCAGTGCCCTCTGTCCCGGGTGGCTCCAGGGGCCTGGACCCTGCTCAGTGCCATCCCAGTGCCATCCCAGTGCCCTCTGTCCCCGCCGGGTTCAGGGCCCTGGACCCCGCTCGGTGCCACGCCCGTCCCCAATGTCACCAGGGTGGGGCACTGCCACCCCCGCCCTTCCTGGGTCCCGGTGCCACCCCCGAGCCCGCGCCGGGTCCCCAGGGATGCCACCCCCCGATGCCATCGGTGCCACCCCCGCAGTGTCCCCAGGGATGCCACCCCCGATGCCACCTGTGCCACCCGCGGGCGTCCTTGTGCCGCTCTTTATGGCCCTGCTGGCCTTGGGGACAAAAAGGGGGTGACAGATAAGGGGGGGGGGACAGATAACGGGGCACAGATAACGGGGGACACTGCCCTGGCGCCGCCCTGGCACCTTTGCCCACGCCAGCGTCACCCGCCTGTCCCTGCCTGTCCCCAGCCCCGCCTGGCACCGTGCCCAGCCCGGCCCCGCCACGCAGCCACCAAGGGACACCGGGGAGGCTCCGGGGCACCTTTATTGTCACCAAGCCCTGGCGGGGCACGGCATGGCACAGGTGGGTCCCCAGGTGGCACAGGGGTGCCCCCAGCCGTGCCAGGCTCAGGGGGTGCCCGCTGCCCCCCGTTTGTTCCCTCGCCGGGTGAACCTGAAGCTCTGCAGGGGATTCCCGGAGCGGGGCTGCGAAACAGGGGGGGCACAGAGGGGTCAGGGGTTTTGGGGGGATTTTGGGGTGGGATTTGGGAGATTGCGCGGTTCAGCAGGAATTTTGGGGGTGGAATTTGGGGGATTCTGAGGTTCAGGGGGGATTTTGGGGGGGATTTGGGGTCCCTCACCTTGCTGCCCCCCCGCCGGGGCCCGGCCCCTCGGGGACATTTCCTCTTTTTGGGGTTGGGGTCGGCGATGCCGCGGAGACTGGGGGGCACTGGGGGGGCAAAAGGGATTAGTGCACCCCAAAACCCAAATTCACCCCACTGCCCACCCCAAAACCACTCCCAGACCCCCATTTCCCCCATTTTTCCCTTTTATTTCCCCAAAATTTCAATTTTTTCCCCCATTTTTCCCCAACTTCCCCCATTTCTGGTACCCAGGTAGTCGTGCCCATGGCCCAGGTGTGGCTCACCCCACTTCCATTTCCCCAGTCCTTTTATTTCCCCAAAATTTCAATTTTTTTCCCCCATTTTTCCCCAACTTCCCCCATTTCTGGTACCCAGGTACTCGTGCCCATGCTCCAGGTGTGGCTGACCCCACTCCCATTTCCCCAGTTTTTATCCCATTTTCCCCCCAAAATTTCAATTTCTTTCCCCATTTTTTCCCAAAATTTCAATTTTCCCCCATTTTTCCCCAGTTTCCCCCCGTTCTGGTACCCAGGTACTCGTGCCCATGCTCCAGGTGTGGCTGACCCCACTCCCATTTCCCCAGTTTTTATCCCATTTTCCCCCCAAAATTTCAATTTCTTTCCCCATTTTTTCCCAAAATTTCAATTTTTTCCCCCATTTTTTTCCCAACATTTCAATTTTTCCCCCCATTTTTCCCCAGTTTTCCCCTGTTCTGGTACCCAGGTAGTCGGGCACGTGGCCCAGGTGTGGCTGCACGCTGGCCGGGTGCAGGGGCCGGTCGTGCCTCAGCGCCTGCAGGTCCCGGGGATTGTCCTCAAAATACACCTGGAACCCATTAATTAACCCTTCATTAATCACCAATCACTAATTAACCAGTCAATCAGCCACTGGGCCAGGGAAATTCCTCCCCTAGACTGAACTGGGTGACATCAAAATGGCAAAAATGGGGTTAAAATGGAGGGGTTGGGGAGGAAACTCCAGGATTTGGGGTTTTCCCCCAGTTTTGGGGTCTCACCTTGAGCTTCTCGCAGTTGAGCAGCTCCTGGCGCAGCTCCCGCAGCCGCGCCTCGCGCACGGCCTGCTTGGTGACAGCACGCATGGCGTCCTGGGGACAGCAGTGGGGACATTGGGGACATGGGCACAGCATTGGGGACATGGGGACAGCACTGGGGACAGCAGGGACAGGGCTGCTTGGTGACAGCACGCATGGCGTCCTGGGGACAGCAGTGGGGACATTGGGGACATGGGCACAGCATTGGGGACATGGGGACAGCACTGGGGACAGCAGGGACAGGGCTGCTTGGTGACAGCACGCATGGCGTCCTGGGGACATGGGGACATCAGGACACTGGGGACAGCAGGACACCCCCATGGCATCCTGGGGACACTGGGACATCCCTGGGGACCCCCCACCAGTGCATCCTCAGGAGGGGACACGGGGTGGCAGCAGCCCCCTGGTGTCCCCTCGGTGTCCCCACTGTCCCCCTCTGTCCCCTCGGTGTCCCCACTGTCCCCCCCTGTCCCCTCAGTGTCCCCCTGTCCCCTCAATGGCCCCACTGTCCCCCCGGTGTCCCTCACCCTGCAGCGGTACCGCAGCGTCTCGATCTCCTCCATGCGGAACTCGTAGGGCTGCAGCATGGACTGCCCGTTCTCTGTGGGGACACGGGGCCACTCGCTGTCACCTCAGCGTCCCCAAGCCCCCCTGACCACCCCCCACCGTGTCCCCAAGTGCCACCTGCTGCCAGCGTGTCCTCGATGCGCCGCAGCCCCTCCAGCTCGTCGGGCAGTGCCAGCGTCAGCGCCGTGCCAGGGCTGTCCCCGCGCGCCGTCCTGGGGACAGGGACACCCTGGGGACACCGTGGGGACACCCCCTGACACCCTGGGGACACCCTGATACCCCTGGGGACAGGGACACTGTGGGGACACCATGGTGACATGGGTGACACACCTGCCCACGCGGTGGATGTAGGACAACACTGAGCTGGGGACACCGAAGTTGTGACCCCCAAACCCCCTGCTGACCCCGAGGACACCATGGTGGCCCTGGTGACCCCGTGGTGGCCCTGTGGTGACCCCGGTGACCCCGAGGTGGCCCCGGTGACACACCTGCCCACGCGGTGGATGTAGGTCTCCACGGAGCTGGGGACATCGAAGTTGATGACGGCGGCGACGTTCTGGAAATCGATGCCACGAGAGACACCGAACTCGGGGTCCTGGGGACACTGGGGGGGCTGTCCCTTCCCGTCACCCTTCTTGTCCCCCTTCTTGTCACCCTTCCTGCAGGGACACAGGCACAGTCAGGGACATGGGGACATTGTGGGGGCTGTCACCTCCTCTCACCCTTCCTGGGGACATGGGCACAGTCAGGGACACAGGTCCCAGTCCCCAGTGCCACCCCATGTCCCCAATGTCCCCCCTGACCTGGCCGTGCCCTGGCTGTCCCCAGTGTCCCCATGTCCCCCTGACCTGGCCGTGCTTGCCCCCCCTGCGCGGGCGGTGCCGGGGGGGCTCCGCCGGCCCCTCCTCGTCGGTGGCCACGATGTAATCGTAGAGACCCCGGTTAAACTGGGCGATGACGTGGCACCTGTGGCACAGGGACATCCCAGTGTCACCAGGGACACCCCAGTGTCACCTGGGACAGGGACAGGAATTGACAGCACCAACAGGAAACCCCACCCCACAAACCCCACCCCACAAATCCCACCCCACAAACCCCCCCAGCACTCACCAGGATCTCACAGGCAGCTGCGGGTTCAGGGCACAAAAGGGAATTCCCACAAACCCCACCCCATAAATCCCATCCCACAATTCCTACTCCACTTCCACTCTGAAATCAATGGGATCAGGTGAAGACCCAGGAATTTAGGACTCAAATGGGAATTCCCATAAACCCAACCCCACAAACCTCCCAGACTCACCAGAATCTCACAGACAGCTGCAGGATGAGGGCACAAACGGGAATTCCCACAGACCCCACCCCACAAATCCCACTCCCTAAATCCCACCCCACAAACCCCCCAGCCTCACCGGGAGCGCGCGGGCAGCTGCGGGTTGAGGACAAAAGCAGGATTTCCCACAGACCCCACCCCACAAATCCCACTCCCTAAATCCCACCCCACAAACCCCCCAGCCTCACCGGGAGCGCGCGGGCAGCTGCGGGTTGAGGACAAAAGCAGGATTTCCCACAAACCCCACCCCACAACCCCCCAGCCTCACCGGGAGCGCGCGGGCAGCTGCGGGTTGAGCGCGCAGGCGGCGATCCCGAACTGCTCCAGGAAGAGCTTGAGGCGGAAGGCCCGGGCCAGGCTGCCCACGAAGAGCAGCGCGCGGCCCCGCAGCAGCCGCAGCTTCAGCAGCGCCGCCAGCAGCAGGAACTTGTCCTCCTCGGAGCCACAGCGCAGCTGGAACTGCTGCAGCTGGGAACGGCCGGGCAGCCGGGGCTCGGGGGGCACCACCTGCACCTGGGGTGGGATTTGGGGGGAAAAACCCAAAAATGGGGAGTGGGAAACTGCTGCAGCTGGGAACGGCCGCGCAGCCGGGGCTCGGGGGGAACCACCTGCACCTGGGATGGGATTTGGGGTGAAAAACCCGAATTTGGGGAGTGGGGAACTGCTGGAGATGGGGCTCAAGGGGCACCACCTGCACCTGAACGGGGTTTGGGGTGAAAAACCCGAAAATGGGAGTGGGGAATTGCCCTCGGGGCACAACCTGCACCTGGAATGGGATTTAGGGTTAAAATCCCAAAACTGGGGACTGGGGAACTGCTGGAGATGAGGGTCTGGGGACAGAACCTGCACCTGGGATTTGGGGTGAAAATCCCAAAACTGGGGACTGGCAAACTGCCCTGGGGGCACAACCTACACCTGAAATGGGATTTGAGATTAGGATCCCAAAAACAGGGATTGGGGAACTGGAATTCCCAGGGAATTTGGGGTCAGAGATGGGAAATGGGGGGTGGTGTTCCCAAATCCTGCTCCTAGAAACACAGTGTTCCCAAATCCCGGTGTTTTCCATCTCTGTGCCCGCTGCAGATCCCACAAAATGCCCCCAATGCCCCAATGCTCACGGGGTTGTGCAGCACCAGCTCCTGCAGCGCCTCCAGCTCGGGGTTCAGGGTGGCCGACACCAGTAGGGCCTGGTAGATCTTGGGCATGTGGCTGGGGGGGCACGGGGGGTCAGGGGCACCCCCAAAACCCCCCCGGGCACCCCAGAGTCCTTCTGAGTGCCCCAAGACTGCCCAGAACACCCCAAAACTGCTGAGAACCCCCATAACCCTTCAGTGCCCCTGAAACCTCAAAGACCCCAAAGCCCTCAGTGCCCCCCAAATTCTCAGTGAAATCTCAAAGCCCCAAAACCTCCCAGGGAGCCCCAAAACCTCTGAGAACCCCAAAATGGTGAGTGCCCCCAAAACCTCTCAGGGAACCCCAAAACCTCTGAGAACCCAAAACCCTCAGTGCCCCCAAAACCTCTCAGGGAGCCCCAAAACTTTAAAGACCCCAAAACCCTCATTGTCCCATCACTGTCCCCATGTCCTCACTGTCCCATGTCCCCTCCCACTGTCCCCTCCCTGTCCTCAGTGTCCCCCTCCATTACCCCCTCATTGTTCCCATGTTCCCTCCAATTGTCCCACCCATGTCCTTCCCACTGTCCCCTCCCATTGTCCCCCTGACTGTCCCCTCAGTGTCCCCTCCCTGTCCTCCTGCTGTCCCCTGGGTGTCCCCATGTCCCTCCCACTGTACCCCTCCATGTCCCCAGTGTACTCCTCACTGTCCCCATGTCCCCTCCAATTGTCCCACCCATGTCCTTCCCACTGTCCCCCTGACTGTTCCCTCAGTGTCCCCTCCCTGTCCTCCTGTGTTCTTCTCTGTGTCCCCACCGTGTCCCCTGGGTGTCCCTGGCTGTTCCCTGGCTGTCCCCTCAGTGTCCCCTCCCTGTCCTCCTGCTGTCCCCTGGGTGTCCCTGGCTGTCCCCTCAGTGTCCCCTGGCTGTTCCCTGGCTGTCCCTGGATGTCCCTGGCTGTTCCCTGGATGTCCCCTCAGTGTCCCCTGGCTGTCCCTGGATGTCCCCCCAGTGTCCCCCTGCTGTCCCCGGTGTCCCCACCAGAGCAGGGCCCACCCCTCCCGGAACCCCGGCGACCGCTGCCCGCAATCCCCCGCTCTGCCCAGCCGAACGCCGCCCCGCTGTCCCGCTGCCCCTCACCCTCAGCAGCCGCCCGTCCAGCCCCATGTGCTCGAACCCCTTCTCCTCCATCTCTGCCGCCATCTTGGCCCCGCCGCCCACACACACAGAGAGCACACTTCCGGTCGAACTGCACCGCCCACAGACACTTCCGGTGGCGCGTCCAGAGCGCCCTCAGGGCGGCTGGAAGCTTACAGCGCCCCCTGGCGGTGGAGGACCGAGAGCATCCCCAACACCCCAAAATCCCCCCGGGGTCGATTTTTGGGGGGAAACCGCACTTTGGGCAGGCAGATGAACGCTTGGAGCGCCAGGACCCCCTCCCTGCCCCAAAAACGCACCGACACCTCTTGGTGGAACCAAAAAAACCTTTATTTCCCCCCAACTTGTGGAGTGGTGCTTCTCTGCTCCCCCCCCCATGGCAGGCAGGGCACCCCAAAATCCGCAGGGAGCACCCCGGGATGGGTTTGGGGTCCCGGCAGGGAGTGGGGGGCTCTCCCCAGCACCCCAGGGTGGGTGGGATGGGTTTGGGGAACCCCTGGGGTCCCTCCCCAGCACCCCAGGGTGGGGGGATCCCCCATGACGGGGCTGAGGGTGGGTTTTGGGGAGCCCCCCGAGGGGCTTTTGGGGGGCTACACCAACTTCTTGGCCTCGAAGAAGCTCTTGAGGTGCCGCATCTGCCAGAGGCCGGTGAGGATGAGGATGACGGTCTGGGCGATGGACCACCAGAGCACGCGCTGGTTGGTGCTCTCGCTGGCCAGCCCCACAGCCCCATTCCACTCCTGTCCGCAATGTCCCCAACGTCCCCAGGGCTCCCAGTGCCACCCAATCCTTTCCCACCCCAAATCCCCCAGTTCCCCCCAGTATCCCCAGTTCCCCCCAGTTCCCCTCACCTCCTTGAGGCGCAGCAGTTTGTGCAGCAGCGGCAGCCCGTACGCTCCGGTTTTCCCCGAGCCCGTCCTGGCCCGGGCCAGCAGGTCGCGGCCCTCCATGGCCAGCGGGATGGCGCGGGCCTGGATGGCCGTGGGCGCTGCCCAGCCCAGCTCCGCCACCGCCTGCGGGCAGCGCCACGGTGACCGCCCGGCCCCGGTGCCGCCCGCGGGCAGCGCCGTGCCAGGGGGACGGGCCCCGGTGTCCCCCCGGCCAAACACCCAAAATCCCATCAATCCACCCCAAAATCCACGCTGAAACCCCATAAATCCACACTGAAACCCCATGGATTCACCCCAAAACCCCACAGACTGGGTGCTTGGTGCTCTCGCTGGTCACGTGGAACCGCTCCTCGCGGTACTGAAACACCCTAAAAATTCCCACTGAAACCCCAAAGATTCCCCCCAAAATCCAAAAAATCCACACCGAAATCCCACAGATTCACCCCAAAACCCCATAAATCCACTCTGAAACACCAACAATTCACCCCAAAATCCCATAAATCCACCCCAAAAACCCCACAGACTGGCTGGCTGGTGCTCTCGCTGGTCATACGAAACCGCTCCTCGCGGTACCGGAACGCTCCAAAAATTCCCACTGAAACCCCAAAGATTCACCCCAAACCCCCAAAGATTCACCCTAAACCCCCATGGATTTACCCCAACACCCCCTGAATTCATCCCAGAACCCTGTGGATTGACCCCAAAACCCCGTGGATTCACCTCAACCCCACGGATTGACCCCAAAACTCCACGGGTTGACCCCAAAACCCCACAGATTCACACCAACACCACTCGCGCCACCTCAAACCTGCAGATCCACCCCCACGCGGAACCGCTCCTCGCGGTACTGAAACACCCTAAAAATTCCCACTGAAACCCCAAAGATTCCCCCCAAAATCCAAAAAATCCACACCGAAATCCCACAGATTCACCCCAAAACCCCATAAATCCACTCTGAAACACCAACAATTCACCCCAAAATCCCATAAATCCACCCCAAAAACCCCACAGACTGGCTGGCTGGTGCTCTCGCTGGTCATACGAAACCGCTCCTCGCGGTACCGGAACGCTCCAAAAATTCCCACTGAAACCCCAAAGATTCACCCCAAAACCCCAAAAATTCACCCCAAACCCCCACGGATTCACCCCAACACCCCCTGAATTCATCCCAGAACCCTGTGGATTGACCCCAAAACCCCGTGGATTCACCTCAACCCCACGGATTGACCCCAAAACTCCACGGGTTGACCCCAAAACCCCACAGATTCACACCAACACCACTCGCGCCACCTCAAACCTGCAGATCCACCCCAAACCCACACGGCCCGACCCCAAACCCCCCAAACCCCCCAGCCCCGCGGCGCCGCTGACCCGCTGGTAGTTCTGCTCCTTCTGGATCTGCTCCACCTGGTCGAGCAGCTGGCGCGCGCGGAGCTGCAGCTCCGTCAGCTTGTCCTTGGCGGCGATCTCGGGGTAGTTGTTGGTGTGCTCGCCCACCTGGATGTCCAGGTGCACCCGCTGCGGGACAGGGCACGGGCTGGCACCGGGGCGGGCGCCGGGGCGCCAGCCACGGCCACGGGGTCAAACATGGCACCAACCATGGCGCCAGCCACGGCCACGGGCGTGGGGTCAAACACGGTGCCAACCATGGCTGCAAACATGGCTCCAACCAACCATGGCACCAGCAATGCACAGCCACAGAGAGGGCACACAGCTGGCACCAGCGCTGGCACTTCCCTGGGGCTGGCACGGGAGGCTGTGCCAGGGCCGTGCCAGGCTGCCCCAGGGCATTACCAGCTTGCCGCCGGCGAACAGCGCCATGCGGGTGGAGTTGGAGTGCAGGCAGATCTGGTGCTCGCCCGGCGTGTGCGACGTGAAGGTGAAGCGCCCCTCGGAGCCGTACTGCCGCGACATCACCACCTGTGCCAACGCGGGGACAGCTCAGGGCCACGGGCACCGGGGCATGGCCACCAACACCCCCGGGGCACTGGGGCACGGCCACAGGCACCGCCCGTGCCAACGTGGGGACACTGTCAGGGCCATGGGCATGGCTACTGGCGTGCCCAGGGGGTGCCCAGGAACTTTTCCCCCTGCCCGGGGGGTGCCCAAACCTCCCAGGAACACAACCCCATGCCCAGGGGATGCCCAGGAATCCTTCCCTGTGCCCAGGGGATGCTCAGGACCCCCTCCTCATGCCTCACTGGGGTGCCCAAATCCTCTCATAGACCCCTCCCCGTGCCCAGGGGATGCCCAGGAATCCTTCCCTGTGCCCAGGGGATGCTCAGGACCCCCTCCTCATGCCTCACTGGGGTGCCCAAATCCTCTCATAGACCCCTCCCCGTGCCCAGGGGATGCCCAGGACCCCCCTCACCTTTCCAGCCCAGGAATCCTTCCCTGTGCCCAGGGGATGCTCAGGACCCCCTCCTCGTGCCTCATGGGGGTGCCCAAACCCTCTCATGGACCCCTCCCCATGCCCAAGGGATGCCCAGGAACCCTTCCCCGTGCCCAGAGGATGCTCAGGACCCCCTCCTCGTGCGGGTGCCCAAACCCTCTCATGGACGCCTCCCCGTGCCCAGGGGATGCCCAGGAGCCCCCCTCACCTTTCCGTCGGGGTCCTTGACCTCCACGTGCATGCCCAGCCCGGGCGTGGAGGGCAGGAAGGACTCGGACTGTTTGTCCCACAGCTGCGTCCGGTAATTGCCTGGCACCGAGCGGGCACACGGGCTCGGAGCCGACCCCGGTGCCCGGTGGGCTCTGATCCCCCCCGAGCCCCTCGGTGGAGCTGCCCGCCAATCCCGGCACCCCCTCCGGTGCTCTCCCGGTGGTCTCTCCCGTTCCCCCCCATTCCCGGTGGTCTCTCCCGTTCCCCCCCCGCCATTCCCGGTGGTCTCTCCCGTCCCCTCCCATTCGCGGTGGTCTCTCCCGTTCCCCCCTCACGGCCCCCGCCGCCCGCCCGCACCGATGACCATGGTCTCGTCGGGGATCTCCTCGATGAAGCAGCGCTTCTCGGTCTCCCCGATGTGGAAGTAGAGCCCGTGCGCGCCCCAGGCCAGCAGCAGCACCGCGGCCACCGCCGCCCTCAGCGCTTCCCACGGCGCCGCCATGGTCCCTCCTGCCCTCCCGCCGGGGGCGCTCTGCGCATGCGCCAGCGCCTCACCCGGCTCAGCGCGCACGCGCCGCGCTCCCGGCGCACGCGCAGTGCCGCCCTCAGCGCCCTGCCCGTCCCTCGCTGCTTCGCGCCTCGCTCTGCGCATGCGCAACACCCACGGCCACTCAGCGCTCCCCACGCCGCCCCGGCGCGCTTCCCGCTGCTCCCGCGGCGCGCATGCGCGCCCGCCGCCGCTGTGGCGCAGCGGGGAGGGCGCTGCTCTCTCGCCGCAGAAACCGCGGGTTCGAGCCCCGCCGCGGCTGTCGCGGTGTCCCCGCGGCGTGTCGCGCTGTCACCCCCCCTTCCCCCGCCATGTGTCCCCTCGGCTGTCACCCCGCGGGGGTGCTGAGCAATGGCGGGGGCGGGGCGCGCCCTTCTCCTCAGGAGTGTGGCAACACCACCGGCAACTTTCTCGCTTCCTTCCTTCTTCCCTCGCCGCCGCCCGCTGCGCCCGGAGCCGGGGTCCCACCGGAGCCGGGGTCCCACCGGAGCCGGGGGCGTCACAGCAGCCGGGGGTGCCACCAGAACCGGGGGTGCCACCAGAGCCGGGGTGCCACCGGAGCCGGGGGTCCCGCAGGAGCCGGGGGTCGCAGCGGAGCCGGGGTCTCAGCAGAAGCCGGGGGTCGCACCGCAGCCGGGGGTGTCACGGGAGCCGGGGGTCCCATGGGTGAGCGCTGCCCGGGGACCCCGCGCACGGCCCGCAGGGGGCACGGAGCGCCGGGCACGGCCGGTGCCCCCGGGAGGGGTCCCCGCGGCTCGGGGGGCGCGGGCAGGGGGCGCGGGGGTCTCCGGGCGGCCGCCCTCAGCCTCGCCCTCCTCTTCCTCCGCGCAGAGGCCGAAGGCTCTGCCCTCTGCCGCGCGCCCGCGCTGCAGACCACGGTGTTCCGGTACCGGTAAGGGACAGCCCGCGGGTGGCGGGGCACGGCGGGGTGGCACGGGACGGGCGGCACCCAGGGGTGTCCCCGCTGTCCCCGCTCTGCCCGGCAGGCTGTGGGACGTGAACCAGCGCTCGCTGTACCTGCGCGGGGGGCAGCTGCTGGCCGGGCACCTGCAGGGCGCCAACGCCGCGCTGGAAGGTGACACGGGGACAGCGCGGGGACGTGCCCGGGGACAGCGGGGACGCGCGCTGAGGGTCCCGTGTCGCCTGCAGAGAAGGTGTTCTGGGTGCCCAACCGCGCCCTGGAGCCCGCGCGGCTGCCGGTGATCCTGAGCGTGCGGAGCGGCTCCCGCTGCCTGCGCACCGAGCGCGGCCCCGGCGGGGACCCGCGGCTGCGCCTGCAGGTGGGGACAGCCAGGGGACAGCGAGGGGACAGCGAGGGGACAGCACAGGGGACAGGGACAGGCATGCCAAGAGGATGGGGACATCACAGGGATGGGGATGGAGATGGGGACACCGTGGGAATGGCGACACCGCAGGGATGGTGACATCAAAGGGATGGGGACACCAAGGGATGGGGACACCGTGGGGTGGTGGTGCGCATGGAGACACAAAAGTTTTGGGGAGGGGACAGCACAGGGGACAGCGGGGGGACAGCACAGGGGACAGCACAGAGGACAGAGCGGGGACAGCGGGGACAGCGAGGGGACAGCGGGGACAGCGGGGACAGCGGGGGGACAGCGGGGACAGCGGGGACAGGGGGGAAAGCGGGGACAGTGTGGGGATAGCAGGGACAGCACAGGGGACAGCGGGGGGACAGGGACAGGCATGCCAAGAGGATGGGGACATCACAGGGATGGGGATGGAGATGGGGACACCGTGGGAATGGCGACACCGCAGGGATGGTGACATCAAAGGGATGGGGACACCAAGGGATGGGGACACCGTGGGGTGGTGGTGCGCATGGAGACACAAAAGTTTTGGGGAGGGGACACCTGGGGACACGGGCCCGCAGCGATGGGACCCCGCTGGCTGGGGACATCGCACCGTGCCCGGCCGCTGTCACACGCTGTCGCCGCGGGTGACGCGGGGGTGGCACCGCAGGACGTGGACATCCGGGAGCTGCCCCGCGCCGGTGACAGCGCTGTCGCCTTCACCTTCTTCCGCTCCTACCGGGACGGGCTGTGGCGCTTCGAGTCGGCCGCGCACCCCGGCTGGTTCCTGTGCACGTCCCCGCGCGGCCACCAGCCCCTGGCGCTCTGTCGCCACCGCGATGTCACCTCCCAGCTGCTCGACTTCTACTTCCAGCTCTGCTGAGCGCCCCCGGGCCCCGCGCGGCGACAGCCGAGCCCCAGGGTGGTGGCATCTTCCTGGGGAGGGTGGCATCACCCCAGGGTGGCGACATCCTCATCCCAGCACGGTGACATCCCCCTGGGGACGGTGGCATTCCCCTCAGCACGGTGACATCCTCACCACAGGGTGGTGGCACCTTCCTGGGGAGGGTGGCATCACGCCCAGGGTGGCGACATCCTCGCGCAGGGAGGGTGACATCCTCGCTCCTCGGTGACATCTTCCCCAGGACGGTGACATCCAGCCGGGACCGCGCCATCCCCCTGGGGACAGCGACATCCCTCCCCCGGGGTGGTGCCACCCTCCTGGGGACAGTGCCATCCCCTCGGGGACAGCGACATCCGCCCCGGACGCCGGTGCGGGAATAAAGAGATGCCGAGGCCATCGGTGCCCGAGTGTGGGTGGCTCCCTGTTGGCACACGGGCGGCACACGGGCGGCACACGGGTGGCACGGCGGGGACAGGGCGGGGCTGCTGGCCCCGCTGGATGTGTCACCGCGGCGGAGTGGCCGCTCTTGCGCCACCCGCGCCATGGGGACAGAGCGGGGACGTCCCCGGGGGGGGTGGCGCGGCCCCTTCCCGGATCCGGTGGGGCCGCGCGGGGACAGCGCGGGGACAGCGCGGGGACAGGGAGTGGGGGACAACAGGGACAGGGAAAGAGGGACATTAGGGACAGGGAAGGTGGCATTTTGGGGACAGAGCCACGGGATTTTTGGGATATGGGACCACAGGAACAGGGGACACCATGGGGACACCGTGGGGACAGAGCACACGGGATCATGGGGACAAGGCACACAACACCTTGGGGACAGGAGATGTGGGGCCTTGGGGACAAGGGACACAGGGGTGGCACACTGGGGACACTGGGAGAATTTGGGGACGGTGCTCACAGCACCTTGGGGACAGCACTCATGGTGACAATGTGATGTCACCACAAGGGGATGGCACCACAGGGGCCTGGCAGGGGCCACCCACGGGACAGGGGACACTGCGGGGACAGGCCTGGCACAGGCGACACGGCACAGGGGACATCCCCGCCACGGGCATCAGGGAGGTGGCATTTCGCCATCGCTCGGTGTCACTGTCGCTGTCACCAGCCCAGTTCGCGGGGCGGGCTCTGTCCCCGCCCGCCCGGCCCTTTAAAGCCGCTGTCACCCGCGGGGACACGGCCCAGAGGACAAGGGACACGGTCCCGGAGGTGGCACGTCCGCAGGTGCCACCGGGGACAGGGTCAAGTTCGGGGACAATTCTGCTGGCACCCGTGCCACCTGTGCCACCTGTGTCACCCTCTCCGCAGGCCCAGCCATGTCACACGCGGCCAGAGCTGCCCTCAGGTGAGTGGGGACATCGCGGGGACATCGCAGGGACAGAATGTCCCCATGTTGTCCCCATGCCTGGGAGTGCCACCTCCCCTCCTCCCCGGTGTCACCTGCCCTGACCCCTGTGTCCCCGCAGGGGGACACCCCGGGGACACCGCCAGGGGGTCACGTCGGGGAACGGGGACACGGCTGAGAACGTCATCGACCCCGACATGGTGGCCTTGTTCGAGGACTTCCTGGGGACAGGTGGGTGCAGGTGTCCCCGTGTCCCTGCTCCAAATGTCCCTGTGTCCCTGCCTGTCCTTGCCCCCATGTCCCCGTGCCCATCCCTGTCCCCGTGTCCCTGTCCCCATGTCCCCGTGTCCCTGTCCCCATCTCTGCTCCACATGTCCCTGTGTCCCTGTCCCCAAGGCCCTGTGTCCCTGCCTGTCCTTGCCCCCATGTCCCCGTGCCCATCCCTGTCCCCGTGTCCCTGTCCCCATGTCCACACCTGTCTATCCCCACATCCCTGTGATGTCCCCATGTCACTGTGCCCCGTGTCCCCGTGTCCCCATGTCCCACATCCCCACCTGTCTGTGCCCCTGTCCCCGTGTCCCACGTCCCCCTGTCCATCCCGCTGTCGTCCACACCTGTCTATCCCCACATCCCTGTGATGTCCCCATGTCCCTGTGTCCCCGTGTCCTACATCCCCACCTGTCTGTGCCCCTGTCCCTGTGTCCCATGTCCCCTGTCCACCCCGCTGTCCGTGTCTCATGTCCCCTGTCCCCGTGTCCCCTGTCCATCCCGCTGTCTGTGCCCCTGTCCCCGTGTCCCATGTCCCCTGTCCACCCCGCTGTCCGTGTCTCATGTCCCCTGTCCCCGTGTCCCCTGTCCATCCCGCTGTCCGTGTCTCATGTCCCCGTGTCCCATGTCCCCCTGTCCACCCCGCTGTCCGTGTCTCATGTCCCCTGTCCCCGTGTCCCCAGAGGTGGCGGTGGCCTTCGGGGCGGCGCGCCCCGGGGCCCGGCCGTACCACTACGTGCTGCGGGACACGGAGCAGCAGGGGCTGTGCCTGCGCCACGGCCACCTGGTGGCCACCAGCCTGCAGGGGGCCAACGCCACCCAGGAAGGTGGGTGACACTGTGGGTGACACCCTGGGGGAGGACAGGGGTGACACTCCATGGGTGACACCCTGGGGGGATAGGGGTGACAATCCATGGCCGTACCACTACGTGCTGCGGGACACGGAGCAGCAGGGGCTGTGCCTGCGCCACGGCCATCTGGTGGCCACCAGCCTGCAGGGGGCCAACGCCACCCAGGAAGGTGGGTGACACCGGGGACAGGGGTGACAATGCGTGGGTGACACCCTCGGGGACAGGGGTGACAATCCACGGGTGACACCATGGGGGGACAGGGGTGACAATCCATGGGTGACACCCTGCGGGGACAGGGGTGACACTCTGTGGGTGACACCAGGGGACAGGGGTGCCACTCCATGGGTGTCCCTCTGGGGGTGACAGCAGTGACAATCTGTGGCGTCCCTCTATGGGGATAGGGTGCCGCTCCGTGGGTGACACCTGGGGACAGGGTGCCGCTCCGTGGGTGTCCCTCTGGGTGGCAGCGGTGACGCCCCCGTGTCCCGCAGAGCCCATCAGCGTTGTCCCCAACCGGCACCTGGAGCGCCGGCGCTGTCCCCTCATCGTGGGCATCCGCGGTGGCACCCGCGCCCTGTCCTGTGGCACCGGCCCCGAGCCCCGGCTGAGCCTGGAGGTGACACGGGGGACACGGGGGGTGACTCGGTGTGGGGCAGTGGGGACACAAAGCGGGGACAGGCCAAGGTGGGACAGCTTGAGATGGGTCAACCCAAGGTGGGTCAGCCAAGGTGGGGACACCCTGGGGTGGTGGGGACCCAAAAATGAGTCAGCCCAAGGTGGGGCACCCAGAGGTGGCTCAGCCCAAGGTGGGGCACCCAGGGTGGACAATCCCAGGTGGACAATCCTGGGAAGAGTCACGCCAAGGCGTGGTGGGCACCCGGGGCTGGCTCAGCCCAAGGTGGGGCACCCTGAAGTGGCATCGTCCCCAAAAACGTGTGTCACCAGGAAGTGGGGATTCCCCAGGGCGGGGTCACTTAGTGGTGGCATCACCTGGGGGTGGGGCCACCCGGGGGTGGGGCCACCCGGGGGTGGGGCCACCTGATGTTGTTGTCACCTGGAGATGGGGTCACCTGCAGATGGCTGTTCCTTGAGGTGATGTCACCTGGGGTTGGGGTCACCTGGGGGTGAGATCACCTGGAAACTGGGTCAGTGTGGGCTCCTCGAGGTGGTGTCACCCGGACGTGGGGACACCTGGAGGTGGTGCCACCTGCAGATTCGTGTCCCCCGAGGTGACACCACCAGCCCCGCGCCGCTGCTGTCACCGCTCGGTGCCACCACTTGCTGTCCCCTGCCTGGCAGGACGTGGGGCTGCTGGAGCTGTTCTCGGGTGACAAGGACAGGGCCACGCCCTTCACCTTCTACAAGACCTTCGGGGGCTCCACGCACACCTTCGAGGCCGCCGCCTTCCCCGGGCTCTTCCTCAGCACGGCCACGGGCCCGGGCGAGGCGCTGGCCCTGGCGCCGGGGGCCACCGCCTTCTACCTGCGCCGCCAGTGACAGTGCCACCAGCCAGGGACATTCCCCAGTGCCACCGCCTTCTACCTGCGCCGCCAGTGACACCGGGGACATCCATGGTGGGACATCCCTGGGGCCACCACCTTCTATCTGTGCCACAAGTGACAGTGCCACCAGCCAGGGACTTCCATGGTGGGACATCCCTGAGGGGACATCCATGGTGCCACCACCTTCTATCTGCGCCGCCAGTGACAGTGCCACCAGCCAGGGACATCCACGGTGGGACATTCCCCAGTGCCACCGCCTTCCACTTGTGCTGCAAGTGACACTGAGGGGACCCCCGGGGTTGGTGTCACCCCCTGTGAATAAAGTGCCACCCGCTGGTGTCACCTCGTGGGCGCCATTCCGGGAGATCCGTGGGGCCGGGACCCTCCTGGTGGGGTGGGACCGTCCTTTTGGGGTCAGAACTCTCTTTTTTGGGGTCAGGGCCGTTTGGGAGAGAACCAAACGCGCCGGGGAGCGCCCCAAAACCGCCCCAAAACCCGCCCCAAACCTGCAGGGAACCGCCCCAAAATAAACGGGAACCGCCCCAAACCTGCAGGGAACTGCCCCAAAACAAACAGGAACCACCCCAAAATAAATGGGAACCGCCCCAAAATAAACGGGAACCGCCCCAGACCTGCAGGGAACCGCCCCAAACCTGCAGGGAACCGCCCCAAAATAAACAGGAACCGCCCCAAACCTGCAGGGAACCACCCCAAAACAAGAACCGCCCCAAAATAAATGGGAACCGCCCCAAAACCAACAGGAACCGCCCCAAAACCCGCCCCAAAAGCGCCGGGAACCGCCCCAAAACCAGGAACCGCCCCAAAACAAACAGGAACCGCCCCAAAACAAACAGGAACCGCCCCAAAACAAACAGGAACCGCCCCAAAACAAACAGGAACCGCCCCAAAACAAACAGGAACCGCCCCAAAAGCGCCAGGAACCGCCCCAAAAGCGCTGAGAATCCCCCAAAACTGCCGGGAATTGCCCCAAAACCGCTGAGAATCGCTCCAGACTGGCCCCAAAACTGCTGGGAAACCCCAAAGTGTCCCAAACTGGCCCAAAACTGAGGGGAATTGCCTCAAAACCTCCAGGATCACCCCAAAACTGACGGGAATTGCCCCAGAACTGACGGGAATTGCCCCAGAACTGCGCCCCAAACCTGCCCCAGAATGGGGTGGGCTGATCCCAAAACTGGGGAATCAGGGGATGGAAAATTTGGGATGAAAATCTGGGAAAATGGGGCTGATCCCAAAACTGGGCTTCAAAATCTGGGATAAAATAATGGGAAAATGGGGTTGAGTTCATCACTGGGGCATCAGGGATTGAGAATTTGGGATGAAAATTTGGGAATTTGGGGCTCAGCCATCCCTGGGAATATTTCTCCCACTCCCATCTTTGGGATTCAGCATCTCCTTCCCAAATATCCCCCCCAAAAAAAAAAACAACCCAACCCACGAATTTTTTGGAAAAAAAAAATTGGTTTTACATCACTTAAATAACTCTAACCCAGGTTTTTAGGACAGGAAAAAAAAATAAAAACCCCAAGACCAGGCAATGACAAGAACATCTTTATAGGAATCAAAATTAATTTAAACCAGGCGAAATAAATTAAAACATTAAATATTAACTTTCAGTGCAACATATACAGAAGACATGAGAGTAACCATGACTTTAAAAAAAAAAAAAACAAACCCCAAAACAACCCCAAAAACAACCCCAAAACAGAGGGAAAAGCTCCACAAGGGTTGGTTACTAAGGGGAAATTAAGGTTGTGCCTCCAGCCCGAGGAGGTTTCCTGGGATTTAAATTCATCTATTATTAATAAAAAGCTGGGATTTGTCCCCAAAAATAAGCCAGGGTCGGGGGGTTTTTTCCTGTAGAAAAATAAATCCCCATCCTGGCGGGGGTTTGGGTTAAAATCCCAAATATCTGGGTTTGAAAAATCCCGGGAAAAGGCCCCAAAAGTCGAGGGAAAACCCAGGAAAACGGCGGGAAAAGGGGAAAACGCCCCAAAAAGGACCCGAAGCGGAGCAGGGGGAGGGGACGGTCCTGGGGGGTCCCCAGGTGTCCCCAGGTGTCCCCGGGGCTGTCACACACCTGTGGGGACGGGAATGGCAGCGGTTACAGACCTGGCTGTCACCTGTGTCCTGTGTCCCCCACCTGTCCCACGTGTCCCCTCACCTGTCCCAGGTGTCCCCAGGTGTCCCCTCACCTGTCCCTTGTGTCCCATGTCCCTCCCCTGTCCCAGGTGTCCCCTGTGTCCCTCACCTTTCCCCTGTGTCCCAGGTGTCCCCAGGTGTCTCTCACCTGTCTCACGTGTCCCCTGTGTTCCCAGGTGTCCCCTCACCTGTCCCAGGTGTCCCCAGGTGTCCCCTCACCTGTCCCTTGTGTCCCATGTCCCTCCCCTGTCCCAGGTGTCCCCTGTGTCCCTCACCTTTCCCCTGTGTCCCACGTGTCCCCAGGTGTCCCTCACCTGTCTCAGGTGTCCCCCACCTGTCCCTGTGTCCCTCCCCTATCCCAGGTGTCCCCGGTGTCCCTCACCTGTCTCGCTGTGGCAGCAGGACCCTCCCCCTGTGAGCAGCCCCCCGGTTTCTCCTGTCACCCCCAGGTGTCCCCGGTGTCCCCAGTGTCCCATGGATGTCCCCAGTGTCCCCAGGTGTCTCTCACCTGTCCCTTGTGTCCCATGTCCCTCCCCTGTCCCAGGTGTCCCCTGTGTCCCTCACCTATCCCCTATGTCCCCAGTGTCCCCAGGTGTCTCTCACCTGTCCTCTCACCTGTCCCTTGTGTCCCATGTCCCTCCCCTCCCTGTGTCCCTCACCTATCCCCTATGTCCCCAGTGTCCCCAGTGTCCCTCACCTGTCTCGCTGTGGCAGCAGGACCCTCCCCCTGTGAGCAGCCCCCCTGGTGTCCCCGGTGTCCCATGGATGTCCCCAGTGTCCCCGGTGTCCCTCACCTGTCTCGCTGTGGCAGCAGGACGCTCCCCCCTTCAGCAGCCCCCCCGGTTTCTCAGGGCTGGCTCCGGGCTCGCGGCACCTCCCGGGACAGGGCCAGGGCCAGGGCCAGGGCCAGCGCTTCCGCAGGCGACAGCAGCTGGGGACAACAGGGACATGGGTGAGACAGGGATTGTGACAGGGACATGGGTGGGACAGGGACAGGGACATGGGGACAGGGACAGGGTCAGGGAATGGAGACAGGGGCGGGGAATGGGGACAGGGATTGTGACAGGGAAGGGACAGGGACATGGGGACAGGGACAAGGAATGGGGACAGGGACAGGGACATGGGGACAGGGACAGGAACCAAGTCAGAGAGGGGGTCAGGGACGAGGACACAGGAATGGGGACAGGGATTGTGACAGGGAATGGGGACAGCAACACAGGGACAGGGACACAGGGACAGGAACCAGGTCAGAGATGGGGTCAGGCATGGGGACAGGGATGAGGACACAGGAATGGGGATAAGGACACAGGAATGGGGACACACGGACAGGGAAGGGGGACACAAGGACAGGAACCAGATTGGAGATGGGGTCAGTGACAGGGATGGGGATGAGGATGAGGACACAGGAATGGGGACAGGGATGGGGATGAGGACACAGGGACAGGACCCAGGTCGGAGAGGAACCAGTCGGAGATGGGGTCAGTGACAGGGATGGGGACAAGGATGAGGACACAGGAATGGGGACAGGGACGGGGATGAGGACACAGGGACAGGGACACAGGGACAGGACCCAGGTCAGAGGTGGGGTCAGGCATGGGGACAGGGCCAGGTGGGGTCCCCTGCCCCGGGCTGTCCCCAGGCCCCCCGGTGGCACTCACTGCACCAGGACGCAGACGGTGACGAGCAGCGCCGAGGCCACCACGGCCACCACGAGCAGGGCTGTGATGGTCTGCTTCTTCTGGGTGGCGGCCACCACGGCCAGCAGGTCAGCGTGCTCACAGCGCGTCCCCACGTACCCCGAGTGGCACCTGGGGACACACGGGGACACACGGGGACACATGGGGACACACAGCAGGTCAGCGTGTCCCCACGTACCCCGAGTGGCACCTGGGGACACACGGGGACACACAGCAGGTCAGCCCGGAGTTTTGGTCTCCCCAGGACACCAAACCTGGAGTTTTGGGATCACTGGGACAACAACTATGGAGTTTTGGGGTTTTGGGATTTGGGAGACTCACACACTGGTGGGTTTCCCCTGACCCCACAGCCACTGGGACAACAACTATGGAGTTTTGGGGTTTTGGGATTTTGGAGACTCACACACTGGTGGGTTTCTCCTGACCCCATAATTTTTGGGTTTTGGGGTTTCCCAGGAATTTGGGGCACTCACACGCAGGCGGGTTTCCCCTGACCCCACAGTTTTGGGGTCAGTTTTGGGGTCAATTTTGGGGTCAGTTTGTGGCACTCACACGCAGGCGGGTTTCCCCTGACCCCACAGTTTTGGGGTCAGTTTTGGGGTCAGTTTTGGGGTCAGTTTTGGGGTCAGTTTTTAGGGCACTCACACGCAGGCGGGTTTCTCCTCCTGCACCAGAAAGCGGCACGTGCCGTGGAAGCAGAACTGCCGGTGCGAGTCGGGGCACTCGTTGAAGTGTGACCTCACGGCCGCCGCCACCGGGGCTGGGGAAACCGGGGCAAAAAAAGGGGATTTGGGGAAAGCCCCAAAAATGGGGAACAGCCCCGGCCCTACAGCCCTGGGATGGGCTGGGGTGGGGGAAAGGGTGGCAGCACCCTGGGGGTGACAGCAGGGACACGGGCTGGGCTCCCTCCCACCCCAAAAGGAGATTTCCCATCCCAAAAGGGAGATACCCCACCCCAAAGGCGAGCAGAGCTGCTTTAGGGTTCATTTTGGGATCGCCGTGCAGCCACCCCAAAGATCCCAGCCTCGAGAATCCCTCAGGAATTTCCTACAGAGCTCAAAAGGGACGAGGAGGAGGAGGAGGAGGAGGGGGGAGCCCAGCCCTGCTCCTGGTTCCCATTAAACCCCACAAAACCCCCCTGGTTTGAATTATCCCCAGAGGGAATTTCCTGCTGGGACTGTTTGGGATCGAGGCACTTCCGACCCAGCCCCGGCTCCCGGGCTGGATTTATGGCAGCCCCAAAGGGGGGGAAAGCCTGGGATGGGATCGGGGTGTCCCCGTGTCCCCAGAGCTGGGAGGAGCCACCCTGGGGTGTCCCCAGCTCTGAGGAGGTTTTTAGGGGTTCTTGGGGGCTGGAAACCCTTTCCTTGTAGGGAAACCCTTTCTTTTGGGGCCAAAATCTGTCCTTATGGGTCCAGAAACCCTTTGTTTTTGGGGGCAGAACCCCTTTTTTTGGAGGCCAGAACCCCTTTTTTTTGGGATGAGAACCCCCTTTTTTGGGGCCAGGAAACCATTCCCAGTTTTCCCCTCAGAGATCCCACGCAGGGCCCCGAAACCCCCTGAAGAGGGGGGTGGGACACCAGGAATCCCCCAAATTCCCCCAGAATCCACTCACCGCTCCGGCCGGCCGTGCTGTTGTCCAGCGCGTGGCACGCGGCCAGCAGGACACCTGGGGAGGGACACCGGGGTCAGCCACGCCCCGAGCCCAAAAAAAAACCCAAAAAAAAACCCCAGGGGGGGATTTAGGGTCGCCAAAACCGCCCCCGGATTTTTAAGGAAAACGCGGGAATTTTGAGGAAATTTTTAAGGGAAAAATCTCCAAGATTTTAATGGAAAAATCTCAATATTTTCAAGGAGAAATCTCAATATTTTCAAGGAGAAATCTCAACATTTTCAAGGAAAAATCTCCAAGATTCTTAAGGAAAAATCTCCAAGATTCTTAAGGAAAAATCTCAAAATTTTAAAGGAAAAATCTCCAGGATTTTAAAGCAAAAATCTCCAGGATTTTTAAGGAAAACGCACAAATGACTCCCCACAAGTGACCCCTTGGAAATCTTTAAGGAAAAAATTAAGGAAAAATCTCCAAGATTCTTAAGGAAAAATCTCCAAGATTCTTAAGGAAAAATCTCCAGGATTTTTAAGGCAAATGCATGAATGACTCCTCACAAGTGACTCCTTGGAGATCTTTAAGGAAAATGAGATCTTTAAGGAAAAATCTCCAGGATTTTAAAGGAAAACACACAATTCCCTGTGGGGGTGGAATTAAGGGGTCCTGGCAGGAACGACCCCCCAAGTGACCCCTTGGAGGGGACAGAGTGGGACCCCCTGGCCAGGAGCGATCCCAGGGCACGGAGCCACCTGGGATTGACCGATTTCCCGGGATTTTCCCAGCATTGACCGATTTCCCGGGATTTTCCCCCGTTTCCCACAAGGTTTGGATCCGACGGCGCGGAAACGGCGGCGGGAGGGAGACGGAGCCTGGGGCGGCACATCCTGCAGATCCCGGCGCCTCCGGAGCTTCAGGGATCCCCCCAGGGATCCTCCACAGCTTCAGGGATCCACCCAGGGATCCACCAGATCCTCAGGGATCCACACAGGGCCTCGGGGATCCACCTGAGCTCCAGGGATCCAGGGGATCCAGTCAAGGTTTGGATCCGACGGCGCGGAAACGGCGGCGGGAGGGAGACGGAGCCTGGGGCGGCACATCCTGCAGATCCCGGCGCCTCTGGAGCTTCAGGGATCCACCACGGGGCCCTCCACAGCTTCAGGGATCCACACAGGGATCCACCAGATCATCAGGGATCCACACAGGGCCTCGGGATCCACCTGAGCTCCAGGGATCCAGGATCCACCCAGGGATCCACCACAGGATCCACCGGATCCCCAGGGATCCACCCAGGGTTTTGGGCATCCATCCCAGCTTCAGGGATCCTCCACAGCCTCAGGGATCCAACACAAGTTCAGGGATCCACCCAGGGCTTCGGGGATCCAACACAAATCCAGGGATCCACCACAGCTCCAAGAACCCACTGCAGCTTCAGGGATCCTCCATAAATCCAGGGATCCACCCAGGGCTTTGAGGATCCACTGGAGCTTCAAGGACCCACCATGGCCTCAGGGATCTGCCATGGATCAGGGATCCACGGGAGCTCCAGGGATCCTCCACAAATCCAGGGATCTACCAGGGCTTCGGGGATCCACCTTGGCTTTGGAGATCCTCCCTGGCTCCCCCGCAGACCTCGGGGTGCTCCTCCCGTGGAGGCTCCATCAGCAATCCGGTCTGATCCCAACCTTTCCCATTCCTCCCAGCTCGGGGCTTCGTCCGGTCTGGGGTTTTTGGGAAACGCGCCTCCACCCCGGGGATTGTGGGGAGCGGCTCATCCTGGTGGGATCCATCTCCGTGGGGATCCTGCTTCTGAGTGGGCATCCATCCCTGGGCATTCCCGTGGGATCTGCGGGCATCCATCCCTGGGCATTCCCGTGGGATCAGTGGGCATCCATCCCTGTGGATATTCCAGTCCTGAGGGGGCACCCATTCCTTGGCATTCCAGTCCTGAGTGGGCATCCATCCCCTGGGCATTTGGGGGGCATCCACCCCCTTGGCATTCCGGTTCTGGGTGGGCATCCACGGCACCCATTCCTTGGCATTCCAGTCCTGAGTGGGCATCCATCCCCTGGCCATTTGGGGGGCATTCATCCCCTTGGCATTCCGGCTGCTCCGTTCTCCTTCCCAGCTCCTCTCCGTGGGCAGGTGGCCAGCCCAGCACTCATCCCCGATCCCACGCAGAGTTTCCCAAAACCTCGGGAAGTTTTCCATGCCAGGGCCAGCCTGGGCACACCGGACACCTCCGGGACCCTCGGACAATCCACGCTGGAGCGGCGCCGTGGGGCTGAGCCATCGCCACCCCCGCTGGCTCTCCCAGCCCATCCCACCCCGTTCCTCGGGGATCTCTCCCTCCGGAGGGCTCCCCAGCCTCCCCATCCCGCGAATTCCCGGCTCGCTTCTCCCCGCGGCGCGCTGGGCTCCTTCCAAAATTCCCCCCGGCTCCGATCCCCGCTGGGCTGCAGGAGCGGGAGCGGAGCGTCCCTTCCCTTCCCTTCCCTTCCCTTCCCTTCCCTTCCCTTCCCTTCCCTTCCCCGCCGGGGCTCCGATCCCACCGGGATCCCGCCCGGGCTGGGAATCGCCGGGATCGGGGAACGGCGGCTCAGCCCCGCCAAGGCAAGCACCGGAGAGAGCCGGAGCCACGGGAGAGAACGGGACACGGGAGGAGGGATGAGCCTCGGGAGGAGGGACACGGTGCTGGAGCCACCGGGGAAAGAACAGGACCGGGACACGGTGCTGGAGGCACCGAGGGAGGAACGGGACCGGGACCGGGACACGGTGCTGGAGCCCCGGGGGAGCAGCGGGACCGGGACCGGGACGCGGCGCGGCAGCAGCTGGAGCGGGGCCAAGCGCAGCCGCTTTCCCGGAGCGCCGCTTTCCCGGCGGGACACCGGACCCGCGGCTGGGTGACAGCGGCGGGGACAGCGGGACAAAGCCAGCCGGGCTGCGGCCGTCCGCACCGGGATCGTTCATTCCCTGCTTCCCCCGGAGCATCCCCGCTCCCGCCCGGAGCGCCCCCGCGCTCCCACCCTCCGCCACTCCAATTAGCCCCCAGCCCTAATTAGCCGCCCTAATTAAGCGCCTGACCGCGGCCGTACTCACGCGTCGCGGCGAGGGCGCCGTTCCCACAGGGAGCGAACTTCGGGAGCGCCCGCGCGGGGCAATTTTACGGGAATTTTACGGGAATTTTACGGGGTTCTCACCGCGTGCCCGCGATTCACGGAGCCGACCCCCAGCGCTCCCCCCCCGAGCCCCCCGAGCGCCGCTGCCCCCGGGGAGCCCCGGGCCGGGCGCAGCCGGGACCACCGGGACCCAACCCGGGATCCATCCCCCGGACCCCCCGGGCACCGCGCGGGACCCCCGCGACCCACCCCGCGACCCACCCGGGCACTGTGCGGGAACCCCCGGTACCCACACTCGGGACCCTCCGGGACCGCCCGGACACCCTCCGGCACGACCCACCCCCGGGACCACCCGGATCCCTCCCCGGTACCCCCCGGGACACCCTGGGACCCACCCCCGGGATCATCCGGGACCCAACCCCGGGATCATCCGGGACCCCTCCCCGCACACCCCGCGGCACCACCTGGGCGACCCCTCGGGAAACTCCCCCGAACACCGGCGACTCCGCCCCCTGGGACCACCCGGGACCACCCGCGCTGGGATCGTCCAGACTCACCCGGGGACCCCCGCCCCCTCTCATGGGAACCCCCCCCGAGGTTCTCCCAACGCCCCCAGGCCCTCAGCCCTGGGCCCACCCAGACCCCCAGACCACAGAGCCCATGGACCCTCCAAGACCCCTTGGACCTGCCACCCACAGACCCCATCAATCCCTCGGGACCCCCAAGTCCTCCTGGGACCCCCAAACCTCCCCTACACCGGCTCCGAGTGTCCCCGGGACCCCCATGGTCCCCCCGGTGCCACCCATGGGGGGACCCAGCCCCGAGTGTCCCCAGGGGATCCCCCACACCCTCCCAGGCTGAATTTTGGGTTGGGGTCACCCTGTGTCACCCACATGGGGAGCCCTTGGCCCCAGCTCAGTGCCACCCCCATGTCCCCCCATGGAGGGGGGGCCAGGAGCGACCAGGGCCCCCCATGTCCCTCCCTGCCCCCCCCGTGAGTCCCGGATTGCCAAACCCCTGCCAGCACATCCTGTGTCACCCTCAGCTGCTGCTGATCCCAGCCTTGGTCATCCCCAAATCTGCAGGGCCACCACCCCGCTGATCCCGGCCTCGGTCACCCCAAAACCTGCTGATCCCGGCCTCGGTCACCCCAAAACCTGCTGACCCCAGCCTCAGTCACCCCAAAACCCACAGGGCACCCCACCAATCCCAGGCTTGATCATCCCAAAATCCCAAAACCTCCAGGGTTCTCATCCTGCTGATCCCACACTCGGTCATCCCAATCCGACCAACCCAAACCTGGCCATGGTGACCCAAACCTGGCAGGGTGACCCAAATCCAGCCAGTGATGACCCAAACCTGGCAGTGGCCAGCACGTCCCCCATTACCCCTGAGGATCACCCCTGAGGACCCCAGCTCTGACCCATGCAAGCCCCCGGGTGTGGGGCCAGGGGGGTTTTGAGGAGGTCCGTGCTGCGCTGTGTCCCCCCCCCGCCCCCTCGGTCACCCCAAAACCTGCTGATCCCGGCCTCGGTCACCCCAAAACCTGCTGACCCCAGCCTCAGTCACCCCAAAACCCACAGGGCACCCCACCAATCCCAGGCTTGATCATCCCAAAATCCCAAAACCTCCAGGGTTCTCATCCTGCTGATCCCACACTCGGTCATCCCAATCCGACCAACCCAAACCTGGCCATGGTGACCCAAACCTGGCAGGGTGACCCAAATCCAGCCAGTGATGACCCAAACCTGGCAGTGGCCAGCACGTCCCCCATTACCCCTGAGGATCACCCCTGAGGACCCCAGCTCTGACCCACGGAAGCCCCCGGGTGTGGGGCCAGGGGGGTTTTGAGGAGGTCCGTGCTGCGCTGTGTCCCCACCCCTCCCCGTGTCCCCCAGCGTGTCCCCCTCCGTGTCACCTGGAGTGTCCCCTGGTGTGTCTCCTGGCATGTCCCCTCCCATGTCACCCCTCTTTTCCCTTCCCGTGTCACCCCTCCGTGTCCCCTCCTGTGTCCCCTGCGTGTCCCTCCCCGTGTCCCCCCGTGGGAGCCGCTCGCAGCCGCGGGGGCCCGGCCCTGCCCTGCCCGTTCCCGTTCCCGCTCCCGTTCCCGTTCCCGTTCCCCTCCGCTCCCAGGTGATAGCATCTCCCCGGCACATGAAAGCGCCTCTTTGAAGGGGCTGCAGCCGGCTCCTCCCGGCGCCGCCGAGCCCGGACCGCGGCTCCCCCGGGAACAGCGGCTCCCAAAATCCCAAAATCCCAAAATCCCACCGCAGGGACCGCCCGGGGCTGCGCGCCCCTCCAGGGGTCCCGCGGCATTCCCACCCCGCAGGGCTCGTCCCAAAGTGCGCTGGAATGTGATCCCAGAACCTGAACATCCCAGAACCTGAACATCCCAAAACGTGAACCTCCCAAAATCCAAGATCCCAGTGCCCTGACCATCCCAAAATCCCACAGCCTGGGCCAGGTGGGAATGGCAACGGCTCAAAAAACATTCCTGGTCCCCACCGGCATTCCCGACCTCAAAAAACTTTCCTGACCCCAAAACACATTCTCAACCCCCAAAAAATGTTCCTGACCCCCAAAAACATTTCTGACCCCTCACAAACATTCCCAGCCTCAAAAAACCTTTCCTAATCCCAAACCTGATCCCAAAAAACTTTCCTGACCCCAAAACACATTCCCGGCCCCAAAACCCCTTCCTGACCCCCAGCTCCTCCCAGGAGTTCCAGGGCTCCCAGTCCCTTTTCCCAAGGGAAACCACAACCCCAAACCGAGGGGTTATTTTGGGATTACACTAATAAATAATAATTAAATTGGGGTTTTTTAATTGTTCCTGCCCCGGGAGCCTCCGGCTGTTGGGTTTTCCTCTTGGGATTGCTCTTTGTTTGTGGTTTCCACCGGGTTTGGGATTAAAGGGTCATTCCAGGGGGGAAATCTGGGATAAATCCATCGATTTAGGGCAAATCCCTGAAAAAGGGGCATAACCCCTTCTCCTTCATCCCCTGTTCCGTCCCCTCTCCCGGGGTGGGAAATCCTGAGGGATTTTTGGGCTGGAATGTGGCACCTTGTGCCCTTCCATGCAGGAAACAGTGGGAAAACCCACCCAAAATATGGGATTTTGGGATTTATCCAGGCTGGAGGGCAACGCTGCAGTGAATGGGAAAACCTGCCCAAAATATGGGATTTTGGGATTTGGGGATTTTGGGATTTATCCAGATTGGAGAGCAGACGTCAGTCAATAGGAAAACCCACCCAAAAAATGGGATTTTGGGATTTATCCAGGCTGGAATGTGGCACTTTGGGCCCTTCCATGTAGGAGACAGTGGGAAAACCCACCCAAAAAATGGGATTTTGGGATTTATCCAGGCTGGAGAGCAGACCTCATTCAATAGGAAATCCCACCCAAAAAATGGGATTTTGGGATTTATCCAGGCTGGAGGGCGACGCTGCAGTTAATGGGAAAAACGCACACACAAAATGGGATTTTGGGATTTATCCAGGCTGGAAAGCGTTACTGCAGACCCCAGTAAATGGGAAAACCCACCCAAAAAAATGGGATTTTGGGATTTAGGGACTGCCAAACACCCTCCTTGCCCCCATGGAGACGACTCCAACTCCCTGAGAATATTCCCCTTGATCCGCATCCTCACCCCTCTCACTCTGCCACGATTAAAAACCCCCTGATTTTTCCAACGTGGCGACGAGAAAAAAAACCCTGAAAAAAGCAGGAAAAATCCCCCAAACCCGCGGGAACAAGGGCGCTGTGTGCTCGTGTCCGGCAGGAATCCTCCGGCCGCCTGTTGATCTTGGACGGGGCCGGTGAAAATGAGGCCGAGGGAAAACACGGCTCGGGCTCCCCCCGGCCCTTCCCGGGGCTCGCACAATCCCAAACTGTCGCCGCCGGGATGGGTTTGGCTCCTCGGCGGGGCCTGGAGCCGATCAGGAGGCGGCGGGCGGGGAGTGGGGGGAGAAATCCCGCGTTATTCCCAGCGGCAGGAATTCTGCTGGCTCGGAACCCCGCGGTGGTCCCGTTCCTGCTGCCCCAGCCCGAATTTTGGGGGTCTGACCCATCCCGGGGCTGTTTTGGCAGGGCAGCACCTCTGACATTTCCCTCATCCCAAAATTTGGGGGTCTGACCCATCCTGGGAGGGCAGCACTCCTGATATCTTTCCCATCCCAAATTTTGGGGGTCTGACCCCATCCTGGGAAGGCAGCACTCCTGATATCTTCCCCATCCCAAATTTTGGGGTTCTGGCTCATCCTGGGCCTGTTTTGGGATGGGCAGCACCTCCAGCATTTCCCCCACCCCACTAAAAGTGGGGCTTTATTGGGAATTTTTTCCTGGCTTTATCTCACAGCTCCTGTTTTTCCGCCGCCTTAAAAAGGCTCTTTCATAGCTGGGATTTTCCCCGTGAATGTCCATTTTATTCCATTTTTTTTCCCTTTCTTCCTTTCCCAAACAGCTCCTCGGGGGTTTTCTCCCTTCCCACCCCTTTCCCCCGCTCCCCCTTTTCTGTTTATGTCCCGTTTTTTTGCCGAAAGCCTCCATAAA